TATGAAATGTGTAGGTGGATCTAAAGGGATGGGTGGTATAACTTAAATACTTTATTAGTAATAGAAAGACTTTAGATTTTATTTATTTATTTAACTATTTTAAATTAATTATATTTATTTATCATTTATTAAATTATTTATTAGAATATACATCTACTACAATGTGATGTGACACAATTGTTCCGTAAAATATACTTTTACCTCATTATTGTCAATTTTAATTTCTGAGATCTTTTATTTCAAATTCTATAGAGAGTGTTCAATCTAAATAAAATTAGACTTGTATTTTCGCTCCGCTACTATACGCTTCGTATTGAAGCGTATAGGAGCGAAAATACAAGTCTAATTTTGATTAGATCGAGAGAGTGTTAAAAATGACGCCGGAAAGAGGGATCATTTTCCCGAAAGTTTCACTCTGGAAAAACTCGCATAGACTTTGAAAATGTTTGAACAGCATTGAGAAAGACAAAATGTGACGGCAAAAAAGATTTAGAAAGAGGAGAGACACATTCAATGGCGAGAAAACTTAAAATTTCAGCTTGTGATGATCCAAGTTCAAAATAACCTTTCGTGTTTCATTGTAATGAATAAACTAGATCATTAAAAAGTAAAACAAACGGGAGACCTATGCAAATGTCTCTGTTTTACATGGAAATTTTCGCGTTATAACGCGAAAATATTTTTTTTTAACCTACGAAAATGAGCTCAATGGGCTTTCATAGGAAAGTCACGTACAGGTGAATATAACGTAGTATTTTTTCTACATTGTTGGACCTCAGCCAATCAGAGAGACGGGAATTATGCAATCATATTAATTTTTTTCCCTTATGAATTTCAAGAAATAATGATAAAGTATATATTTTAGGTATCATAATTAAGGAAAAAGTATGTTATTGAGACTCAGCCAGACAAAAGTTCCCAGTGCCATGCAGTCGAGGTTGGATCTATTTACAGATCCATTGAAACAAGTGCTGTGGACAAGGCACCCTTTCCCGATATAATACACCATGAGGATTTTTTTCTTTATATTTTTTCTTCTATCAAATGACATCTATTATACCTGCTTCCCCAAAATCCCCAAAACAACTTTTAATAAACATGTTATTCAAAATCGCGCATAAGTTAGTAGAATTATAAAATTGACATGCCCTTTCAATTTTATCAGATGTATATATCAACATATATTTCATATATGTTGCCATTAGTCATCTTAAAAAATATTTTGTTAAAAATTGCTCCGATTCCATACACGAGTACTTTGATGTGATAAAAAGATGACGAGTTCCTCAATGACAACATCTATATGAGCCAGTGTATGAGAAAAGGGGTCTTATGACATAACGTCATAATGCACAGAAAACGTCATAAACGTCAGAATATTGCGCGACGTCTGCATTTTCAAAGACGCTCCATTTCAAAGTGGAAATAGATTACCTACGCTATTGAACGTTATCAGCTGACCATAGTAGTCACCACCATCATGTGATCATGGATGAGGTCAATTCTGAATTTCAGGTATTTATTTAAGATAATTTTACACATGTATGTACAATTTAGTCAACAATTATTAAGATCGATTATGTAACCTACCGACGCTACGTACAGCTATAAAGACCGGCATGGAATAAGATATTGTATAGCTGCTATAGATAACAGGTATTACAAGTTTTATGAAACATCAATATATTAATTTAATACCAAGGAAATAAATATAAGATTAAATCCGAAATGAACTGCAAAAAATGAATCAACATGAGCATGTGAGTCTTATTTTCTCGGTCAGACAGGGGCGTAGCTTCCATTGTGGCAATAAGGTAACTGCCATCACCCCCTCCCATAATTAACAATACATTGCAGAAAATATTTTGTAATATTATCAGCAAATCTTTAATGTACGTTCATATCATCAAGATTGGGCTCTACCTCCTTTACCGAAAAACTCCAGGCAGGTAGTGATGGGAAAATATTAAAAATCGATGAATGTTTGACAATTATAGTTTTGACGAAATAAAAACTAAGTTTGATAAAATGTGTATTCATCTGAAAATGCGTTACAGTTTTAGTAAACATATTGATTAACTTTTTAACATCACCAGAAATCCGAGGTCGGTGAGCTTTTAAATACTTTCATATATAATGTATAGTATCATATCCACGCTATGAAATTGGTAAAGTTGACGAAAATTCTGTGCAGGACAAGTATGATATTTGCATTTTAAAACCCCTAAATCCATTTTCTGCCCGGGGGGGGGGGGGTCAGTCCACTAAACCTCTACCAGGGCTCTGTTTAACTTTTGGACCTACTGGGGGCTTGAAGCGGCCCATAACCCCGGACCCTATGGTTTGACTCTATAGAATGTATTTAAAGTCAAGCTACGCCCCTGTCAGAATAATGCAGCTATGATGCGTTAAAGGAATTTCTCACATCACTTGTAAAACTGCATTGTTCGGTAATAAACTGCGAAAACAATACACACGCGCACACTGCAATGTGCGCGTGTGTATTGTTTTATAAGTTTATTACCGAACAATGCAGTTTTACAAGTGATGTGAGAAATCACTACAAGGAATTTACTTATAAATAACTTTTAGTCCATATCCACGTTATTATAAAAAGAAGAAAAACAAGTCACCGGCACAATAAATGTTCACATATATGGTAACTAGTCGGACGAGTGTTTGGATTTCTTACAGAACTACAACTTTCAGATTAGATGTTATATATTAAGATTTTAACACACAATTACGTTTTGTACAGTATTTTCAATTTTACGTTTACAAATTGCTTTAAATTAATCCTTGTACTTTCTTTAAATAGTTACATGTACATTAATGAATAAAAACGTCCAATAGATATTTTAAATTTCCCTCTGTTTACGCGGTGCTTAGCATCAGAGTTGTCATAACTCTCAGAATATTGACGGACAGACTAGATAAAGTCTACAAAAAATCAAATAAATAAAAATAATAATGAAGATAAATAAATAAAATTAGAGAAAGAGAGTATATACGAATTAAAAAGTAAATCATATTCTTTTCTCCAGTTTTAAATAATTGAACACAAATCAAGATTAAAAGAATAGAAATTAAAAAAAAAAATTATAATAATAAGAAAACCATACATTTTTTGCAAAATTCTACTATTTAAAATCAAAGTGGATCTTTCAAATTTAATTCTATGTCATTTATATAGGACTAATACATTTAATAATTATAAATGAACATGAAGTACATTTAGGGGATAGATTCGTTAAATAAATCAAGTAATTTATTATATTTCGTCGATTTCAAAGATTTAATAGTCTTTTAATTTTTAGGAACTAGATGATCTTTTCAATACACACTTTGGGTTGGAATCAGCTGCCAATTCACACTCAGATTTTGAGGAAGATCGTTCAACAAGCGATCAGGACGATACACCCTCTGATCCGAATAGATTAGACCGAATACGCAATTTTGTTCTCTCTCAATCAGGAAATGAATTGTCTGACTGTGAGAGTGAAAATGAAAATGACACCCCTTCAGAACTGAATGACATTAAACAAAATTGTAAATGTGGTCAGCGTTGCTTTTCAAAGTTTGAGAATTCCGTAATTCTTGACCATGTATTTAATGTTAGAGAAATGGAAAAAGATGTAAAAGATTTATACATCATGGGTTCTACTAGCATTGCCGGGTCATCTGTCACTCGAAAAGGATCAAGAGTCCGGAACTCGTACCACTACAGTTTTAGAAATGTGAAAATTTGTAGATCGACTTTCCAGTGTTTATTTGATGTCGGGAAAAAGTCTCTCTCTAATCTCTTGAAACATTATTCAGCAAATGGGGCCGTCCCTAGACGACATGGAAATCATGGAAGGAAGCCGAAGCATGCAGTCAGTTTTGACGATGTACAGAGAGTGGTAAATTTCATTTTGGGCTACGCCGAGGAACACGGCCTCCCTCAGCCTGCAGCCCCTAGAGGTAGGGATGATGAGCCTCCCATTTTTCTTCCTTGTAATTCGACGAAGAAAGCTATTCATGGCCAGTACAAGTCGGCGTAGCCCAAAATGATTGCGTACTTTGCATGGCGAGTGATTACTGGTTTGCATCATCAAATTACTTATCTGATGCAGGTAGTTGGTCATACACGATGTCTGATTGACGCAGGTTTTGCAAGGGCAAAAAAGCTGTTCCGTCGCACAGACTGTGATAGTATGAGTGAACTTCAGAGAGTTTTTGATCATTCTTCAACAACAAACAAAGGTATTCTCTACGACAACGGAAGAGAGTCTACATGGAAATACTACGGTTGGAAAGAGTTTTTGGGCCGTTTTTTCAACTCATTACCTGGTATTTCAAAATACCACTCTTTCCGATTTCATGTGGAATTTCCAGGATTTGTATTTGTAAAAGAAAATAGTGATTCGGCCGAGAAAAAAATCAAAATATCAAAACCAGATGGACTTCAGCAGATTCCGGGAAATTTTCCTAGGGAACTTGCACCCCTCGGAATGTCTAGAGAAAGAGCTCAGTATCTTTATAAGAAGGTCAGACCGTATGTACGTCCAAGATGTCAAGATGAATTATGCCCTCCAGCCCAGACTGAAGAATAGCTTACCTAGGCTATTTATTTTCCATTAAAAATGTGACAAATGCCATATTTTGTTTATTTCACAAACAACAAATATTGATTGTTAAACATTGTTTTGAAAAATAGAATTAATGCAAAAGAAAAACAATTTTAAATAGTACTCTGTTCATTAAAACCGTAATTTCACCGGGGTTGATATATGACGTTTTTGAAGTCAAAATACAGGATTATGACGTTTTAGCCATTTTTGCACTCTTTTGTAACCATAAAATGAAGCACTTATCATTAAGATATACTATTAAAACTTATATATTCTGATTCCTTGCGTTTTATTCTACAAGAATCAGCAAAAATCTGATTTTGTGATTTTTATGTCATAAGACCCCTTTTCTCATACACTGGCTCATATATAGTCTTTGGAGACCGAGTCTCCTAACAATCTGTTGGAATTTCCATGTGAACAAACCGTGCTCCTTTATTAGCCGAGCTTCTTTTGTATTCTTATGAAGTATAATTTATTCCAAAACTTCAACATGAAAATTTAAAAGAAGAAGAAAACTCTTATTTTAGTCTTGAATGCTACAATTCGACACATCGATAATGTTCTATATATCATTCCATTAATTCATACATCGAACCCTATTGAACTGAATATAAAAGACACCAAGGAGTCAAATAGATCTATTCATACATGTATCTGGATATTTCATTGAACATAGACTAGAAAATGTAACAAACGGGATATGATTTCAGCTTTTACCAAAAGATCGATCTATGAGTATCGAGGTCCCACAACAGGTGTGACGGTCGACAAAGGACGCTCACCCCTCCTAAGCAACTTATTCCGCCTTTGGTGTTCCCAGGAGCTGCATGCGTTTTTTCAATGTGGTCGAACGTATTGTTTATATACCATTTATGAGATTGCTTACTAATATTTTTAATTGCTCTTTTTTTCATAAGCAACATCCGAAAGCACAAACATTTTATTGTTTGTGTATATCTTCCAAGGAGAAGTCGAAGGAAATATATATAATAAATGTCTCAATGTTATTTATCTATGTCTCGGGTTTCACCAAGGGAACAAGATTTACTTTGTTTAATCAAGTTGTGTCCTCCACACACCTCGATCACTATTTAGTCATATATCGTCTTCGACAGTACGTGGCGCCTCATAGAAATCGCTGCACGGTACACGTGTTTTTTGTAACAACATTTTTGTGTAAATACGAATCATTTTGATTTACACATAGCAATAAATCAAAATAATAAATCATATTTACAGAAAAAATGTAAACTGGTGCTATTGTTACAAAAAAAGTTGCATGATAAACTAGCTTATTAATTTTAAAAATATTTTTTTAATTATCTGAAAATTAGGCTCCTATATTATAATATTATAATTACATTATAATCCCCCCTTTTCCCTCAAAGAATATTCTATTATCATTCTAAAGCGTTACTGGCATGCTATGTTATCTGCATGGTTGTGTCGAATGCAAGTTGATTTTGAACAGGTTATAATTAGCCTACGTTTATATAACTTCTGTTGTTCTTAGTGCGCTTTGACTTATTTGTTCGAATTAAAATATTGTCATTCTGATACAAGTTCGTGGGCGAACTATCTCCGATTTCGTGACTGCATATATAATCTGTTATCATAACTATAGTGGATAACCTGACATCTGAACATTTTAGTAATGTTATCGCTTTTTACTAGTACATACGTACTACTGACCAGTACAATTAGGTACAGTTGTACCCAAATTAAATGATTCAAGTAACTGTACCATTATTCAGTTTCACACAATTGATCGACATAAATTTTGAAAAAGCATCTCAATCATAAGCTGCTTTAAATGCAATTAACGTTCTTTAAATATTGTAAAACCTTTGAAGTTGCAGTTAATTATTGCACGCCACACGGAAGTCGTTATTTATAATTAACAGAAAACATTAATTTACTCCATTTAAATTAGCTGAATCTGATTCGCCGAGAAACATTCTTGTTGTGCAAATTCATGGAGACGACCAAAATCCTTGACATATCTAAAACTACACAGAAATACTGATAACACCAATTCAAATGCACCAAAAAAAGTCCTTGATCTATCTATATATGTACGAAATATCCCAAAATAATAACAATACAATAGCTTGATAAATACATGTACTGTGTTCTTATCATGCTTGTCTCCATTTTCTTAGACTGAAGAGTACATATTTAAATATCATAGTTACTACTTAGAAAACAAAGAAAACAGAGTGAAAAAAAAATAATCATGCCTTTATTAACATTTTAAAGCCATGGACAAATATACAACAATATTTACAGTTCCCTCATAATGAAGGACTTAAAAATGCCTGTTTTAAAATGCAGACAAACAAAACTTGACGACCCAGTATGTACAAAGTACATGGATGTATATTACTTCTAGAGAAGTAAAAAAGAAAGAAAGATGAAAATGGGTATTGGAATCATTACAATACGCAATATTCCAAATAAATCCTGTTTAAAGAAAGCTTGTGTATAAATTGTATAAAACTTCACTTTGTAAGTCATGATGTACAAAATAAATATCACACATGTAAAAAGTACAAATCACCGAGATATAGTGCCTCATCAAAATCACACATTCAAGAGACAAAGCAATAATGTAACAGGAAAGTTAGTATGAAGCTTGGAAATGTTACATTTTTTCTTTTTACAGTTTTCATTTAATTTAAGCTGAACTGCAATAACCAACCTAATTATGAACAACTTTCATTAAAAAAAAAAGATATTCATGTACCTTTACATACATGTACCCAAAATAATAAAAAAAATATCCCAATTACATGTAAAATTCAAAACATTTACAATTCAAGTATGTGTATACCCCTTGCGTATGGTGGAGTTAACAGTCAATGATTATCCTCTTGTCAGTGAAGATAAGGGGCACTTGTCAGTGAAGATAAGGGGCACTTGTCAGTGAGGATAAGGGGTACTCTGGTGCCCAAGATGAGAGGAGAAAGTTGGGGTGAATGGTGGCTGACTGTCAGTGAGGTAACCCTCTGTGATGGGGGTAGGGTTGATATCGCTCAGGGAGACAGGCTGATCAGACAGGAGCTGATGAAGAGAGTCTGAATTCTCCAGATTGCTCAGAAAAGAGTCCACAATGGACATCTCTGTATCACAGGTTGGGAGGGGAATGCCAGCAAGAGGACCTAGATGGAGATCCTGAGAGTCAGTGCTCATGATAGTATCTGTAATGTTTTGAAGTAAAACACAGTTCTCTGCCACAGTACTGGTGGAGATCAATGAATTGTTCTGGGCTACAAACTGACAGGCAGTTGTCAACTCGCAGTTTGTTGACATGGCAGAATTGTTCCACATATTGGAATGTGATTCCACTGGGACAGGGTTGGTGGTAGCTGGAGGAGTAGAAATGCTAACTGGATGATCATCTTCCATCTTTAAGACTTTGGAATCTGGATTCATGGATTTACCAGCAAAGCTCCATTGAGCTTCCAATGGCAAAAGTTCAGGTGCATCCATGATCTTAGTTTCTTTGCTAATTTTCCTCAAACAGTTAAAGAATTCTACAAAAGAAAGCACACTCTTTAAATAATAAGCTATATTCTTGCAGTTAATAACAATATGATTTTGTCATTATGATGTTAAACACTTGTTAAAAAAATCCCCAAACTTGAATTACTATGTATTAATTTAAATGTCTACAAATTACCACTGTAAATTTTCCTCATTATAAAAGCAATAAATACCTATCCTCAGGTTTGGAAGTGAGAGTTTGTCCTTGACCCAGTTACTGACAGACTGGGTGAACTCATCAGATGTTGTTGTGGTTACCATGACCTTGAAGGACTCAAAGAGAGGCTTCATCATAAAACTGAACTGATCAAGATTTAAGGATATTTTAACTAAAATAGCAAAAGAAAAAAAATATATCTGTTTTTCATTACATTTCAAAAACAGATTGCATCTTAAGGAGGAATGCCACACCAAAAATTTATTTAATAGATCTTTAAGAAATCCCTTTTAAACTATGGTTTCAGCATTGAAAGACCGATATTAGCTTTTAATTATTTTATATGAATTTTTTTGCACTTTATCAGACAAAATGAAAAAAAAATGTTTTATTTGCAAATAAGATGCTTTATGGTTTAAATTTTGCTATTAATAAATACATAATATGAATGTCTAATAAAATATGTTAATTAAGACTGAATAGACATTTTAATTTTTTAAATAAAACATTATTTATGAAAATAAAACACATAATTTGTGAATATTTTTTAAACCTATGGTTAAAATCTTCATAAAACTAGTCACAACTAGGGAGAATATGTTAGTCAATCATATTTTAAAAAGAAATTGAAATGAAATTGAAAAATTTTAGGGAGAATAATTATTTTAATATTTGGACCAATCCCGATCAAAATTAAACTGATCCCGATCAAAATTAACACAAAATAAATAAAATAATAATTACTGTCTTCTTTTTGTATTTACCACTAAGAAATCTATTTGATTATCAAGTTCAACTACTTTTTAACCTGTATTACACCTAAACAAACTAGTATTCTTGTGAAAATGTTATCTATTTTCAATTATTACAAAATTCTGGTTGGGATCAGTTTAATTTCGATTGGGATTGGCCAAAATTTTAAAAATTAATTTCTCTAAAATTTTGCAATTTCATTTCAATTTCTTTTAAAAAGATTACTGCCTAACATATTCTCCCTAGTTGTCACTAATTTTATGAAGATTTTAACCATAGGTTTAAAAAATATTCACAAATTATGTGTTTTATTTTCATAAATAATTTTTTTATTTAAAAAATCAAAATGTCGATCCAGCCTTTATTAACATATTTTATTAGACATTCATATTATGCATTTATTAACAGCAAATTTTTAACCCTAAAGCATCTTATTAGAAAATAAAACAATTTTTTCATTTTCTTTGAAAAATAAGAAAAAAATTCTTATCAAATAATTAAAGAGCAAATATTGGCCTTTTAATGCTGAAACCACTACTTATCATGGATGTCTTAAAGGTCTATGAAATAAAATTTTGGTTTGGCATTCCTCCCTTATTCTTCCCTCAGAGGTTTAACATTTCCAATAAGCAAAACAAAGCAATCTTTACCTGAAGTAAAATTAAGTGAAGAAATGAATGCAATTGCTTTCTCAACCAAAAACAACTGGTGCAACACAATAGAGGACACAAAATATGAAGGATACAAGGTAGAATTTCCAGTTTTTCCTGGTCTGGGCCATCACATATTCCTCATAGAGCTTGTCAATGTCTGTGCTGGGTGGTTCTTCTACTGTGTCCACTCCCGTAACTGGCAGCTCCTTCTGAAGGTCACTGAAAAAGTTAAAGAGAAAGAATTAACAATCAGTGTTTAAGTCACAGAAATGTAGAGGAATTTAAAGACTGATCCATCTTCCAAATGTCCTCTACAAAAGGTTTGCTGAGACAGCATGTTCCCCAAATTTATATGAATGAGATTTTTTCCAGTATAATGCTGCATTTCATTAATATACTTCACTGAATCATTTTTTTCTACATTTATTTCAAGTGAATCAACTCTTTTTGATGTAATATTGTTTTCAATAAATCATTATACAATCATTATACGATTATCTGGAAAATATCTCATGACAGCCAAGTTGTTGGATTACTTAACTAATAAATGTCTATAAGGTTATCACCTGTAAAAGATACAAATCATTATTCTTATTTCAAGCATACTAAATATTGTAGTACATAAATACTGATTATCTACAAGAATCTTACCCAAATTTCCTGAAAAATAAAACAAATCATTAAATAAACTGATACTTTTTTTTTCCTGAAATAAGAAAACTCATTTAGTATTGTTCATTTTCTAAAAAACAATTTTTTAACAAGTTCTAATTATCAATTCTAAGATTTATTTTGACTGCCTACAAAGAAAACAAAGTAAACTCAAATACATTATTTTCAAGTTTACAAGATTACATTTCATCTCTTATCCAACAACTTGGCATCATTATCTAGAATCTGGAAGAAATGAAAGAGAGACTTAGTACATAAGCATATAGATATATATAAAGTATACATACACAAACTATAATTAATCTCAACCATATACGTATAGTGATCATACATACAGAGCTTGGTCAAACATTTAAAATGTTTTTGACTTACTGAATTTGAGTACCCAAGGACTGGATTTCTTGCCGCAAAGCAGCCGTCTCATCGGTGAGCCCCCTACATTGGCCCTTAAGTTGCCGACAGTATTCAGCAGCTACAAGAGGGAGACAAGTCAAAATTTGGGGTAAGGTGCCCCCTCACAAAAGGGGACAAACTAAACAGACTTAGCACTAGAATGCCCCAAACGTTCCTCTCTCTAGTTTCCTATGATCATTTTTCCTGCATGTTCTCAGGATTTTCATTAGCAGTGAACCGGTTTTAGAAAAAAAAAAATCTTCTTGTAACTTTTATAATACCTTCAACAGAAGCACAGTAAAATGATTCAAGTCCAGAGAGAGCAAAGTTATCTAAAGATTCCTAACTACCCCTAACACTAGTAGGTGCCCATGAGTGACTATCCCCTTACAACTAATAACCTAACTCTTGCAAAATGGGGATACCTACTTTTAAAGAGCATAACAGCTTTGCTTTCCTTCTCCGACACATCTTCTAGGGAGGGAACCAATGACCTTAAACTTTCAAATCCTTTCTGTAAAAACAAACCAACGGGATTAACAAGACGATCAATATTTTGAATTTTTTTTATAACCCTGAAACTGTGAAAATCATCTGATTACATGAAACAGACACAGATCACAAAGAAATATCTTCTAATTTTAAAAATTTGTAAAATGTTCATCTCTAAGCAAGCACTGAATGTTAAAAGAAGGCATTTCTTTGTGGTAAGTTGTAAGCATTTTATTTGCCCCTAAATGTGATTGTGCAGAAGAGTAATTTCTACAACAGACTTGCATAAATATTATTTTTAAAAAAATGTTTACTTTGAATTGCTGAGTTTCACTCACAAAATTTTCTAAAACTCAAATTTTCTACATTCTCACATATTTAGGGCTAATAATTGAATCTTCAAGTTTGAATGATAGAATGCCATAAAATTTTTTATCCCCTTTGTCTTTCCCATACAAACTTACCCATGAATATTTTTTCTGCTATCATTACACCTTACCTGTCTTGGAAACAAAAGAGATATAGGGACACTTTTCCTAGCCTAATTTTTGGATACACTGGCCAATTTTGGTCAGGCTTTCTTTTTGCAAGTGGTACTACATTCAATACCCATGAAAAAATAACATACAAAATCATGCTCAAAAGCCAACTAAGGAAGACTTGCAAAAGAAATCAAGATCTTCTACTATAATACTTACCGTGCAATACTACTTAAATGTGTGTAACAAGAAGTAGAAAAAATATATCTAATTGACATTAAAACCCAAACAGAGGCCATTGCAAACCTGAATTTTATCCCTCCGTTTGTGCTCGGCCTTGATGTGTGACTCTCTTTTGTGTCTAGGGATTGGGTTAGCTGGTCGCCCACATTTGCCTGTTCTTGGAGACTGTGGGGAGGGTGGGGAACTCCCATCCGGTGGACTCTTGGTTGCCCGATGTCTGGTTTTTCTTTTCACTCTTCCATTTACCTATTTGATGGAAAATCATTAGTATTTCTTTCAAATTAGGAAATATCTGTACCGCTGTAATTGTGTAATGCCAAATACAATCTTCATTATATCCAATTGATTTGCTATTACAAAGAACTGTGAATGCTAACTCTTAATTCCTGCCTACATTTTACACTCATGCAATTCAACATGCTTGGCAAATTTGCTATTAAATTTTTTATATATTCAAAGTATACTTCATTAGATACTATTAATAATTCTATTACTATAAAGTCAATTAATTAATTGCTCTTCATTATATTTCATTGAAATCAGACTTAAAAACATGACAGGATTTTAAAATACTCATGGATATGGATAAATGACCACTTAATCTTTCAATATGTTAACCTAATCAAGAAAATGTGTCCGATTCTTTTTTTTTTTTTAAAGCAACTTTTGTTTCATTTAGGGGACTTATATATCTGACTTATTTACTAGAATTTTTTAGCTGTAGATCTAGATATTAAATATGAAATTGATCTTAATAATATTTCTCTATTGATTTCTATTGTGTCACTGAAATACATGACTTTTTAAAAAACTTTTTTAAATTATAGTCTCTTAAAGTTGTTAATATTTTCAACAATTTGTTTCGATGAGAGAGATTTTCATTTTTTTTTTTCCCTTTGTCACTATGACAGATGTTACAAATATAAATAATCATGGCCAGATAAAGATGAAAAACAAGAAAACACTTCTTCAGAACACCTATCTGACTTGAAGAAACTCTAAACACTAATAAAAAAAAATGACTAGACTTTGAGAAAATTATATCACATAAATGTGTACACACTGAGTTTATCTAGTTTTGTGTTCCTGTTTCAATAAAGCAAATAATAGCCATATTGTACAGTTAGTTAAAACATAGTTGTTCTCAGATACTGGTGAAACACACAGAGACATACATAATATTTTACATCTGTTATTTATGACTCTGGTGCGAATAATGTCAGTATTTCATCAAGTCTTATATAAACTTGCGCATATTTCAAATATATATAGCCTGTATCAAAGGGCAGATCACTCTAACTGTATACCATGGATTTTGAGCTCTTACTATCATGATTTTCGTGCGTGCACTTTTCATTCAGTACTCCTCGAGATTATTCATACCTTGATAGGGAAAACCCAAATATATTACAAATTACAAGGCAAAGATCAGCCAATCAAAATCATCGCATTCCGCAAACCACGTGACCATCATCAACTTACTATATAAACACCGAGCATTCCCTTAGCAATTTCTTGCCGATTGAGGCATTGACGAGCGCACACCTTGCAAATCAAAAAGCAAATAGGGCGCCAACAGAATACGAAATTTTTTGACGACAATGTCGTGGATACATAAAAAACATTGAAATAAGGATCACAGAGGATATGAAGTAAATGATACATTAAAATCAAGAAGAAATGGTCATGGAAAAGCTTCTCCAACTCTGGAACTGTGAGGAAAAGCAAGCGACATGTTTTACAGAATATTCTTGTTTTCAGCATTGACTCTCAAAGAATTGTTGAATCGAATAAATGTTTAATGAAATTTTTTACCTGTAATTTTTCAGTTATTTCCTTGTGGAGATTACTTAAGTCCAGTTCAGTTTGGTTAACGTTATTACCCGTCATTGTGACCTTGTCGAGTAATATAAGGCTGAGCGCCAATGTTATATACTGGCTATACCACAATGCATTGCGAAAATAGTCTCGAATCCACATGACAAAATCTTTTGTTTTGACTTTTATTTATTGTTGAACATTCCCAAAATTAATAAAAATGTTTTGACATTTTCCTGACTATTTTTAAATTGATAAAATTATTCGCGTTATTTTGCTAATTCAATATTAGTACGAAGTGTCATACTGCACTTTATGCACAAGTACTGCATATGGTTCATCAAATAATTTTCATAGATCTATATTGCATCTGAGATGCATAAGATAAAGATTTTTTTTTTTTGAAAAAAAAAGGAAATTAAAAATTTATTTTAAAAATTCATTTGTCCGATGTTGGAGACTATAGACCAATACTGGATTAAACCGGTTGGCCTAAGAGGCGGATCTTGAAATGTTTGCAAACGCATTTATTTAGAGCAATCAGAATATTTTAGTCTAGAATTTATAAATTTCAGAAAATGTCCGTATTCAGCAAAATTAAAGAAAAATGTTTATAAATGGGGGGGGGGGGGGGATTTGCACCCATTTAGGAATTTCAGTTTGAATAGTTAAATTTATGACCTTCCCCACCTCTATCAGAAATTATATAAGTTCATAGAAGAGCAATAATAAGGTTGTACATTAAGCAAAGTCGGCTTTAGATGTTCATTTTGAGCAACACTTTGCATATTAGTGATACTTTTATAACAGGTTTATTATCAAATACATGTAGCTATAATTACAGTGATCTACACAAAGTTCCATCCTGAACATGATTTTTAACTGTATCATAGCCCCTACTCCAGGACTTAATTTCAACATATCATTAAGCTGTGCCCTTTAATACCGAGATGTGACTTCAAATCAATGATGATAATTATCTTTTATATTTTCAATATTTATTATTATTATAATCAATATCAATATTATTTTTAATATTTTCAATAGTTGAAAAATTTTACTTGCCAAGGGTTTAAACATTGACATTTTGTGACAGCTTAAACTGGACAGAAAAAAAGACATTATTGGCACATTTGGGAAAACTTTCTACCCCAAATAAGAGTTAAACACCACTAACAATCGGATTTAATTTTCATTTTATGGTTTTATTATATGTGCATCCTTATTTCATAATAAGATTTTCTTTTAAAAGTCCCTGCACAACAATTTATCTCAGTTAAGTAATTCCTATCAAATACATAATAAATCTAGAGTTGACAAAAGTACACTGTATATGACCATGCAAAATTCTGATTTTGTTAAGTATTAGGCCATTCCAAGTTTTTTTTTCTCTGTTTAGCGTCCAGCCATATTTCAAAAACCTACCTACCTATTCGCAAAAAAACAAACAAGCCCCAAAAATAAAACACAGATTTTATAGTCCTAAAAATGACCCCATTTAAACAATTTGATTTCATAAACCTATTTTTCTCATAAAAAGTTCAATTCCTTAGTAAAATGAAAGTACTTAATACAATGTACTTACAAGACACCTCACACTACATATTCTAGACAAATGTATAGTAAAATTGACAGAGTTCAAAGATTTTGACTAGAATAATTAATTTCACGACTCCAATTCTTGTTTGTTCGTTTTTTTATTGGGGGGTCAAAAACCAAGGAGCACACGGACGTTAAACATATAAAAACTTGGAATGGCCTTACTTAGTAATGTTTAGGGTAAATCCTGCTATAAGGCCCCAAAAAATAATAGTCTTGTTTCCTGCTACCTGCCTGAAAAAAATAGGGTAGGTAGGTAGGAAAATTATTATTTTTTTTTTTTTATTTTTTCCAACAGCATTTTTTGGATATAAACAAATACAAGATCAAATTAAACATGTCACAGGTCAATAATATTGTCTTTTAAAATCAAATTTCATGTCTTCTGATGCACAACTCGAAAGGTATTTTATGAAAGTCCATATTTAAAACATAGAATTTCATGAAATGCTTGTTTTGTGTGAATATGGAACCAATTAAAGTGACAGAATGATGGAATTCCAGAAATTCCCTTTTTTTTTTCTTCCAAAACTTAAAAAAAACTTTAGGGTCGGGGGAAAAAAAATAGGGTCGGTCGGGTAGCAGGAAACAAGACTATTTTTTTTTTAGCCTTAATTATTCCTTCTCCGTACCTGTCTCATCTTTTCAAAAAATTTTTTTTTTATTTCTTCAATAATGCAATACTAGTTTTTTTTTTACAACAGTTACACCAACAGAAAAATCCAAATAGTGAGGTAGAAATCTCTGCTGCTTAAAATGATGTACAATATCCATTACAAACTAGAGGTATATGTTAGGCACAGTGAGCTCACAAAATGATACCCCCATCTCCGATGTGATCATGGCAAAGTGAATTTCTTGGCAGTTTGTAAATGAGATTCTGTGAAAGTTCCATTGGATACCCCAAAGTGTAGCGGATGGACATACAAAAGTGTAATAATAAATACACTATATCATTACCTGCCTCTCTGTTTACAGTATGGTTTAGACAAAGATCAGTGCACACTGAGTATAAATCAGCTAAGTATAATATAGAAGTAAAATGTACAGAACAACATGATAATCTAAAAGAAATGCACATGTATTTTGGAATTTCTACAAATGAGCATCTAAACATTATTTCTGGTATTTAATACACAAGCTATCATTTAGTATGATTACCAAATAATAGTCTCCATGGATTTGGACCTTTGAAGGTTGGACAAAGGCTTGCGTTTCCGAGGTGGGGTTTTACAGCCCATGACTGGTAAAGGCATTGAGTCAATATCTGTCTCAAGAAATCTCTGTTGTTGCTTTGTATTGGGATTTTCAGAAACATCCAAAGACTCAGCTAATCTTTCACTCCTCCCTAAGCTCGATTCTGTAACCGCAAGAGAGTTTTCTCTCTCTGAAATCCTTGTTTTCTGGATTTCTCCTCTTTGTGTTGGATCAGACTTCCCACAGTCTCTATTTTCTTTTAATTTGAATGATTTGTTGTCTCCAATTGGAAAGTTGCGGACATTATGCAGACCATTACTGATTGTCATGGTAACCCTGGATTCACTTCGAAGTTTTGGAATATTTCTTGGTGGAATCTTTGGCTTTTCCTTTTTGGGGCCTCCTTTTTCTAACAATGAAACTTCACTTTGTTGTTCTAAACATTTTTTTGCTGCCACATTCTCTTTTCCATTGTAAGTTAAAGATGAATGTTTCTTGGGTGCAGAAGAGTATTTATCTGGTGTTATCAAGTACTTGCTGAAAGAAAATCTGCTCTCTCTTGTTGTTAACAGATTTTCCAAAACTATATGTTTAACTTTTGATTCTGGGGATGAAGCGCTGGCTGAAGAATCACTTTGAGTCAATAAATTGTCATTCTGTAATTCATTCACTGGCTCTGTGAACACACGATCATCATCAACAGACACCCTATCTTTAATTTCTTTATCTTCAGTAGATTTCATATCAAGCGATTCAATCTCTGCATAAATTTGTTCCTGAGGGAAAAAAGTTTTTAGGATCTTGATTGGCGGACTGAAAGTCTTTTCTTTAATGGGACTGTGCCAACCATCTTCTCTCTGTGTACCTTGATTAATGGGACTGTGTTCATCCACTTCCATAGAGCTGCAGGATTCAGTTATGCTCTGTCTCGCAACAGTATCCTGATCATTATTCCTTATATCTCCTGGCTGTAAAACTCTTGCTTGGTCAACTACCTGGTCATGAGATGCTGGTTGAACAGCTTCACTATGGTTTCCATTTTTGTATGATTTGGGAGGGACAGGAGGGGGTGAAGGTGACTTCACAAGCTGAGTGACTTCTGCAGGCTTTTTTCTGGGTGTCGGTTTGGGTTTCCATGGCACAGCATACACAGGGGATTTCTCTGTGATACTGGAGGTTGGTGTGCCTGGTAATTCAGTAGGAGGGAAGGACTGAATCTCAGTGTTACTGGAACAGAAAATAACATTCTTACTTTTACTTTCCTTAACAAAGTACAAGATAGGCTAGGACCTCTTTCTGGTACATGGTTTTGGGTGTTGGGCACCAGCATGAGATACATATTGTGTATTAAAAGTTATAGTTACACTATAGATATCAATTGGCTATTGGTAAATACACTCACAGTTTTTCATTCACGAGGGGCGAAGCCCCGAGTGAAAAAAAACTGTGAGTGAATTTACCAATAACCAATTGATATCTATTGTGTACTGGTAAATGACTTGTACCAGAGGACCAATGAGAGAAGAGCAAGCGGAGTCTGTATAAATAGCTGTCTCCATTTGAAAGGATTATATTTTGCGAGGATGCACCCACTGCTGGATTTTGATAATCAGAAATTCGGAGTAATCAATCAATGTATAATTAATGGGTATGTATGAAAATGTTTTTCCTTCGGAATAATGAAGACACATGAGGATGTGTCCACTGTTGCATTTTGATGATCAGAAATTCGGAGTAATCAATGTAAAATAAATGGGTATTTGTGAAAAAAATTTTCCTTCGGAATGTTGAAGACACAGAGGACATGATTTTTTGTTGGCTACAGAGGTAGCGATCGTAGACTTATGTTGAAACTGTCAACCCTAAGAGAAGTTTCATCTTTTGAGATTGATTTTTTTTTTTTTAAAAGGGGGGAGGGGTTTAATGGAAAGAATTACCATTGAAATTTTCAATACGGCGTTTGATGTGTAGAAACTGTGAAATGATTCTGCATTCTAATGAAAGTTGCAGTGGTATTGGTAGTAAAACCGGTCACTTCTGCTGTTGAATTGGTATTTGGAGACAGGAAAGATGATGATGAGAATTCGATATAGAACGTATCATCAACTGATTAAGGATATGTGGAGTAAAAATATGGAGAGAATATCAACAGGTCTTGAAATTGTAATTGTTGACTTGATTGCCAAGGTGTTGAAATTGACATCATTCATTCATCAGTCAAGGCCTTGTCACAGTATGGCTTGATGCCAGAGAGTGGGCACAACTTAAAAAACTGTGATTCTCCTGGTAAATACACCAGAGCCACATCAAAGTTAAATCTGAATTAACCACCAGTCCTATGGTACAATCTCAGATATGCAAGCTTGTGCTCTACATTTTAAACAGAGGTAAAATGTATATCATATTTGACAAAATTCCATCAGAATTGAGGAAATTCTGTAAAATGTTCCACTTCATCACCCTCTTGTGGTCTCCTTGTATGTTTTGAATCAAAATCAATGCTGGTTATAAAACAAGCATGATTTCAAGTTCTTTATTGCAAACTATCTCAATTTTAACTGTTTTTATTTTTAAAATCAAATAAGGGGCCAAATTCGGCCATTATCATACTTTGTCCTTTAAAGTAGCAAATACATTAAATTTGAACTGTTTATGAAATACATGTATTTAATGTATATATTATTTACGGTAAGGTTAAGAAATTACTAAAACACATCTGTTGATACCTATTCTCTGTAGTTAGTATCGTCTGCCCAGCATCAGTCATTTGTATTGCATTTTTTGGAATTTGATATTCTCCAAGTTTCTGCAGAAAGAAAATGCAAAATTCAAATGATAAATTGTGCATATTTAGACTGACCAAGCACAAATAACGTTTACATACAGATGTCACAATTTTAAAATGATCCCCCCCCCCCCCCAATGAAGATTGTCTGTAAAATTCTTACTGGAAGGGAATCACTCTTATAACTACCAGAATTTTCATGAATGTCTTCCTTCAGGGAGCTTTCCATCTGCAATGTATAAATGTATACAAAAGGTTATTAAATTTTGGGAGCCACATGCATTATTTGTAACTTTTTTTCCATTTTAAAGTTGATGTAGTGATATTCATGCCTTCAGATTATATAAACTAGAAATTGAAATCCTTTAACATTCTTCTGATTACAATATATGTACTTTTTTCTGTGTGGGATTAGTTTATGCTACATATGTAGTCACATTTCTTCTGCAGAAAATTTGACACAGAGTACTTAACTATCATGCATTCAAGACATGCAATGGTAATCTAAGAAATCCACGCGATTTTCTACCCTCAGATGGAACAGAAATTGTGATTCTGCAGTATTAGTCACTATTAGATTATGCCCCCTTAAGAAATAGTACATTTACAGTATTTAGATTTTTTATGAATCTCTATCAATATTTGTAATGTTTAACTGTGACCTACATTTGTGTTTTGAGGTAGTCCTACTCATCCATTACAAATACATGAATGAAATTCTTAGCTACTTGACTAAAGGACTTAGTTGTTGTAACTGCACCTACCAGAGAGGACTGTGAGTCTAACAAAGCTAGGTTTGATCCCTGTAAATGTTTTGGTGGTGTCTTCCCAAAGGTAGAGAATGGAGAATCTGGTGGCCCCCAGGGTTCAATGGACAAACGCTTTGATTTGGGACGTGAGAAACTAACAACTTCTTCTTCATCATCAGCAAAGCTGAAAGTCCTTGTTGGATTAGTTGGACATGGACTCTGTATCTCAGCACTCCCTCTATAATACTTCTTATCATCCAAACATGTTTAAAAAAACGAAACTAATTAGTAATATAATCATTCACATTATTAATTGTATATTTAATTTGCTGCACTTGAGGTTCTTAGAACTTGATTTATCTAAGGTGGTCATAGTTGTAATATATTTTGAAATTTTTAACATTTGCTTTTCCATTCTGTTTGGAAATGAAATTTCAATTTATTTAGTGATTTTCATTGGAAGTGCAATTCTGATCAACTAAAAAACAAGAGGCCCATGGGCCACATCGCTCACCTGAGCACATTAGCTAGACACAAATTAGTTCAGTATTGAAAAGATTTCTGGGGGTTTGGGGGGGGGGGTGAATTTTAAACTACCTGATGATGCTTCCATGTCAATATAACAAATGGCTTTGTTGTACTTGAGAAGATTTAAAAAAAAATTTTCCCATATATTCCTTTGTAAAATTTTGATCCCCCATTGTGGCTCCTCCCTATCCCAGAGGTCAACATTTGAACAAACTTGAATCTACACTACCTGAGGATGCTTCCATATCAATATGACTAAACATAGCTTTTCTGTTCTTGAGAAGAAATATTTTTTCTATGTGTTCTTATGTAAAACTTTCAATCCCCATTGGGCCCCACCCTACCCCTGGGGGTTATCATTAGAAAAAAAATTGAAATTACACTACGTGAGGATGCTTCCATATCAAAATGACTAAACATGATTTTCATTTCTTGAGAAGAAGATATTTTCCAATATGTTCCTATGTAAAAAATTTTTGATCCCCCATTGTGGCCCATCCCTATCCCGGGGGGTCATGATTTGAACAAACTTGAATCTATACTACCTGAGGATGCTTCCATATAAATATGACTCATCATGACTTTGCTGTTCTTGAGAAGAAGATTTTTAAAGGTTTTTCCTATATATTTCTATGTTAAACTTAGATCCTCCATTGTGGCCCTGCCCTAGCCCGAGGGTCATGATTTGAACAAACTTGAATCTACACTACCTGAGGATGCTTCCATATAAATATGACCAATTAGGGCTTTGCTGTTCTTGAGACGAAGATTTTTAAAGGTTTTTCCTATATATTTCTATGTAAAACTTTGATCCTCCATTGTGGACCCGCCCTACCCCCGGGGGACATGATTTGAACAAACTTGAATCTACACTACCTGGGGATGCTGCCATATAAATATGACTTATCATGGCTTTGCTGTTCTTGAAAAGAAGATTTTTGAAGATTTTTCCTATATATTTCTATGTTAAACTTTGATCCTCCATTGTGGCCCCGCCCTACCCCCCAGGGGTCATGATTTGGACAGATTTGAATCTCCATTACCTGAGGATGCTTCCATATAAATATGACCAATTAGGGCTTTGCTGTTCTTGAGAAAAAGATTTTTAAAGATTTTTCCTATATATTTCTATGTAAAACTTTGATCCTCCATTGTGGCCCCGCCCTACCTCCAGGGGTCATGATTTGAACAAATTGAATCTACACTACCTGAGGATGCTTCCACATGAGTTTCAATTTCCCTGGCTTTGCGGTTCTTGAGAAGAAGATTTTTAAAAGATACTATTAATTTTTCACTAATTCTTTATTATCTCCCCTTGAAAGAGGGGTGGCCCTTCATTTGAACAAACTTGAATCCCCTTCACCCAAGGATACTCTGTGCCAAGTTTGGTTGAAATTGGCCCAGTAGTTCTGGAGAAGAAGGTGAAATTGTGAAAAGTTTACGACGACAGACAACAGACAAATTTTGATCAGAAAAGCTCACTTGAGCCTTTGGCTCAGGTGAGTTTAAAAAAAAGCCAAATATATAATACAAAATGAAATGGAAAATTGCAGAATTAATCTTTTATAGCACAATTCTTACAGAATTGAAAATTATACCTGTCAAACTTGGAGAAGTTGCACAAAATATGATTATATTTCATGCAACCAAAAAGTAATGAGCAGCTTGACACTTTTAATTTCTGGATTACAGCTTACATGAATTAAAAGCTTACACCAGGGCACAGGCACTTGACTTTACAATTTTTCTTATAAAAATAAATATAACCCCATACGTAATAATTAAAGGCGCTTGGACACAGATTTGAAGTTAATATTTTCTCAGATTTTCTGTATAATTTCATGACTTATATGTTGCTATAGCATTTCATACTAAAATATAATAAAAATCTCATTTCATATCGAAGTTATTAAAACTTCGAATTTCTGGACGCGTTTGATTGACACATCCTTGCACTTTCACAATTCTTAATTTTATTCTTAATACTTAAGACAAGAGGCCCATGGGCCACAGCGCTCACCTGAGTAACTTTGGCCTTGCTGTTTTTCACCTGATTTCTCCCCCCCCCCCCCCCGTAGTACTTATTGTGGCCCCGCCCTATCCCCAGGGGTCATGATTTGAACAATTGGAATCTACACTACCCCAGGATGCTTCCAAGTAAGTTTCAGCTTATCTGGCCCAGTGGTTCTTGAGAAGAAGATTTTTAAAGATTTTTCCTATATATTTCAATGTAAAACTTGGATTCCCTATTGTGGCCCCGCCCTACCCCCGGGGGTCATGATTTGGACAATTTAGTATCTACACTACCCCAGCATGCTTCCACATAAGTTTCAGCTTTTCAGGCCCAGTGGTTCTTGAGAAGAAGATTTTTAAAGATTTTTCCTATATATTTCAATGTAAAACTTGGATTCCCTATTGTGGCCCCGCCCAACCCGGGGGTCATGATTTGAACAATTTAGAATCTACACTACCCCAGCATGCTTCCACACAAGTTTCAGCTTTTTTGGCCCAGTGGTTCTTGAGAAGAAGATTTTTAAAGATTTTTCCTATATATTTCAATGTAAAACTTGGATTCCCTATTGTGGCCCCGCCCTACCCCCGGGGGTCATGATTTGAACAATTTAGAATCTACACTACCCCAGCATGCTTCCAAATAAGTTTAAGCTTTTCAGGCCCAGTGGTTCTTGAGAAGAAGATTTTTAAAGATTTTTCCTATATATTTCAATGTAAAACTTGGATTCCCTATTGTGGCCCCGCCCTACCCCCGGGGGTCATGATTTGAACAATTTAGAATCTACACTACCCCAGCATGCTTCCACGTAAGTTTCAGCTTTTCTGGCCCAGTGGTTCTTGAGAAGAAGATTTTTAAAGATTTTTCCTATATATTTCAATGTAAAACTTGGATTCCCTATTGTGGCCCCGCCCTACCCCCGGGGGTCATGATTTGAACAATTTAGAATCTACACTACCCCAGCATGCTTCCACATAAGTTTCAGCTTTTCAGGCCCAGTGGTTCTTGAGAAGAAGATTTTTAAAGATTTTTCCTATATATTTCAATGTAAAACTTGGATTCCCTATTGTGGCCCCGCCCTACCCCCGGGGGTCATGATTTGAACAATTTAGAATCTACACTACCCCAGCATGCTTCCACATAAGTTTCAGCTTTTCTGGTCCAGTGGTTCTTGAGAAGAAGATTTTTTAATGACCCCACCCAATTTTTGTATTTTCTTGATTATCTCCCCTTTGAATGGGACTTGGCCCTTCTTTTTAACAATTTAAACTCCCCTTCACCCAAGGTTGCTTTGTACCAAGTTTGATTAAAATTGGCCCATTGGTTCTTGAGAAGATGTCGAAAATGTGAAAAGTTTACAGACGGACGGACAGACGGACAGACGGACGGACGGACGGACGGACAGACGGACGGACGACGGACGACGGACAACGGGTGATCAGAAAAGCTCACTTGAGCTTTCAGCTCAGGTGAGCTAAAAAGTGGCAGTTTTGTTGTGTATAAATGAAAAGTATTAAAACTATAATCCAGAAAATTCAGAGTAGAAATGTTCGAAAGCAAAACCCACTCACAGTATTGTCAGTCCGAGCTCAGTGGTGTGTGCAGACTTTAACAATTGAACACTCCCAGTGAATCGTAAACATTAACAATAACAGAGCTCGTGCCCTGTTTACAGAAACAGTTTACGTTTCACGGGTGTATTCAATTTGTTAAACTCTGTACACAACACTGAGCACGGGCTGACGATATTAGTGAGGGGGTTTGCTTTCGCACATTTCTACTCTGAATTTTCTGGATTATAGATGTAATGTTTTTCATTAATACAAAACAAAATCGCTTCTTTTCTTAAATATTAAGGATAAAGATAAAATTTGTGGAAGTGCAAGGGGGTGAATTCAAAAAAAATGACCAAACGCATATTTATCAACCCACACTAAAAATACATTCAATGAAAATAGATTTCTATGTCTCAGCATATGTCTTTAGATAGTGTCTAAATACCTGCCAAATATCTCGTTGATATCTCAATTAACAAAAAAGTTATGCCCAAAAATGATGCTAAAATTGTCAGGAGTGCAACACCTTTTTGTGACATTTTGAAATTTCAATATTTTTTGGAGATCTGTGAAATAAAAAATAATGCTTCATGTTGAAAATAAAGACTTTCCTGATAATATTCAAAGTATTGAGCTTTAAATGTGGACTGTCATAACTTTTGTTTACTCAAGTTGTGGACATGGCTGATGTTTAAAAAAATGTTATACCATGTCAGGAGTGCAACAGAAAAAATGTAGTGTTGCCAAAAAAACATCAATTGTAAAATTCTCATAGAAAATTAAGACAAAAAAGAATTTTGGAAGTGTAAAATAATAACTGACATACATTTTAAAACTTAAAAATGTTATATAAATCACATGCAGCATTAATGAGAGTCAAGTATATGCGCATACCCAAAAATGTCAGGAGTGCAACATTTGATGTTTTGCTCCCAAGCATGAAAAAACTATTATCATTATATGATTTTCTGATTTTTATTTTGGAAAATAAAGACACTAAGAACATTTTTACCAAATAGATTTATCAATTACAGGATCTGTCTGTGCTTCAGATCCATATTTCTATGGTCAGGAGTGCAACACATTTTTTTGAAGATTCAAGTTGTGTGAAGAAAAGACTTCTATTCATGCTTAGAAGTATTCATTAATTAATAATGATCTATTTGTATAATTTAATGCTAAATTATTGAAAGTTTTATTATTAAAATCCTTCCTTTTTCAATTTTATCAATTCAGATGTGTTTTTATCTTTTTTGTGATTTTTTTAATGAACGTTAAAAATAAACACACTAAAACATTGTCATTAAATTCAAGTAATTCCTCCTCAATTTCACTGAAACAACAGAACAAGTTCTTATGTAATTTTCACTTCACAATTCTACTTTAAAGGCCCCAATGCTTTTGGTCAGGAGTGCAACAAATATGTTAGAATTATAAATCATCCAATAAGAATAAAAATAAAGAAAAAATAATGAGTAGAATTTTTCTGGTGGGTTACTGTGTTTGTCTTCTAAAGGAAAATATGCTTTAAAATATATTTTATCTTCTAAATATACATTTAAGCTAGTTTTATTGGCATAAAATAGGGTATAATTCCAGATAAAATGTGAATTTTAAATACTTTCATCTGTTTAATTATGAAGTATTGGACTATAAGTATTGCACAATTTCATTACCACTTGATGTTGCCAACACTTTATGAATTTTTGTGTTCTGTGGTTTTAATTTTAAACTTTACTGCAGTCAGGAGTGCAACAAAACTGGTTCATAAGTACCGATGCTTTTTAACTATCTTTACTAAAAAATAAGTTGAAAAAAATGCTTGATACTATTTGATGTTCAAAACACTATGTCTATCAACAAATTACAGAAATTTTACAGTCAATTCAGGGAATAGTTTTCATCATTTCACAAATATTTTAAATACAATTTATATATATTACACTTTGCAAATAATCATGTTTTAAGGTCTTCAAAATATGAAACACCTACTGTAAACGATGAAAAATATCAACACAACAAATTGATTTACAAAGTAAGAATGGGTTATTGTGTGTTATAATTTTTAAAACAATGTTAAATAAAATACATATCAGATGTCAGGAGTGCAACACAATAATGTAACATAGGGTCACTTCAAAATCTAGTATTTTTTGTAAGAGAACTCGTATATAACAATTCTTTTTTGGCCTAGATTTAAAGAATTGACTTGAACGGACAAAAAAGTGAACTTTGGGGAATTTTATTGCTTCATATTTTTTTCATATTAAAACTTTTCAAACCAGAATTGAAAAAATAATGTAAAATAACAATCAAAAAGCCAATTTTTTGTCACATGTACAAGAGAAGATACTCATTCAAGGTCTAGATTTAATCATTTTTACCCCTTTCACCATTTTGAAGCATAAAAAACTATAATTTCTTGTGATTATGTATTTTAGAAAGTCTTTCAAGGTGTAATGATATTTTCTTTTTTCAAAAGAAATTTTACTAATAAAAATTCTGAAACTTTTTAATCCAATTGTCTATTCCATTGCCACTTCAGGATTTTAAACTAGAATGCATTTGCAATATGATGATATGAGTGAAAAATATGTTATAAGTAGTTGAATTTTGCCAAAAAAATTCAGTTTGGTGGTCATTTTTTTTTAATTCACCCAAGGATGTGTTAATCAAACGCGTCCAGGAATTCGTAGTTCCAATAATTTCCAGATAAAATAAGTTTTTAATTATATTTTCGTGTGAAATGCTATTGCAATATATAAGTCGTGATATTATACAGAAATTTTGAGAAAATATTAACTTCAAATCTGTGTCTAAGCACCTTTAATGGTATGGGTTATGTATTTCCCTAATAAGAAAATTATCTAACGTCAAGTGCCTGTGCACCAGGGCTTTCAAAAAGGTCAGAAACAGGCAGAACTTTTACAACAAGAGGCCCAAGGGCCACATCGCTCACCTGAGCACATTGGCTGAGAAAAAAGCAAAACTCAGTTCAGTATTGAGAAGTTTACATGGGGGGGGGGGGGGGGGGGGAGGCTGAAATTTTAAACTACCTGATGGTGCTTCCATATCAATATGATCTTAAATTCACTGTCAAGGAATTTTTGTTACATCACTCAAAGCTTTGTGTCCAATATTTCAGACTTAAGATATCACTCTAAAAATTGTTGCAAATTGAAGATTGGTATCAGGACCAAGTCACCAAGGAAGACCGAGATAGTTGCACTTGAAACAATTAAAATACAATTAAAATTTAATTCATTAGTATTGAGTGATGTAACGCAGACACTTCAAGTTTAATTCAAATTAATTAATTACAACTGAAGTATATCTTACTTGTGACACTCATTTTTGTTCCTTTATATACAAAATTTCTATCCATTGTTCTCATTTACACTCAAATCTAAAGACTAATGCATAAAAAGATCACCTTCTGTTTCAGACGTAACAGGACACAAACTTCAGCACACAGAAAAGAAAATTTCCTCCAAAATTAAAATTAATTGAACAAATTTTTTATTAAAGGATTTGCACTTACATTTGGGCATTTTTTGGCCAAGTTTGCATAATCATATGGCAAAGGACGAAAATTATATGCCTCATTTCAACATATAGAGATGTAACACTTTTTTTAAAAATTTACTTAATTGTTAAGTTTTTACTTTGAATCAGATTATGGGAAACTTTAAGAAAATTTTAACTTAATAAATAAGTAAACAATTGAACAAATTTTCAGTTTTATTTAAATAATATACTTTGTATTGTATATGCCCCTTTCTACAATAACGTCATTTTATCTTCTGTCAAGAGATCAGTTTTGATCTTTTCCGAGTTAAAGATCCGTGGCCATTCTATGACCTGAAAAGAAAAGAAAAAAATGGTGAAAAGGTAGTTTGACAAGGATATTAAGATCTATACTCCATACTTTGATAGTGATGTAACACTATCTCATGATATTTTCACAAATTTAACTTGGACACGAAAACTGGTGTCCTATGTTACATCATGTAATGAAGTTAAAGAATGACAGAACAATGTATAATACACAACTTCACTCAAGTTTATTGTGTGTTTTGCACTTCTTAAAACAACAATTAGTTATTTTTGTCAGAAGCCGGTCAACAAAAAATTATGCACATTCATAAATAGTGATGTAACAATGACACATTCTGTTGTGGCTTAATAATCTTGTCAAAGTTACATCTTTTATAAATTTTCAAATATTTACTAAAATTTTCTAAAATAGAGATTACAATGGTTATTACTTGATGCAATTAAATTAAGCTCAATCAGTTGAAACTTAATCACATGTAAATGACCATTTTTGAATTAAAAGACTTAGGTAATACTTGATTGGGGGGCGTGATGTAACTGTGAACACAATCAGTCCCACCATAATGTGAAAATAAATAAGCATAATTCTTATATTAGTGTAGCATAGTTCAATATTTACAGTTTATTAGAAAATTAATTCTTATTTCTTTGCAAACACGCAAATCTGACATTATATATGTTTCAAAATACATCCTTAAATCGCCGAAAAAGATGAGGTCCCTAAAAAATGAGAGACGTAACATGTAAATGACCTACCTACTACTCGCGTCTCCTGTCATCTTTTTCTTGGAACTGATCCAACACGTGCACAGGTTTCACCAAAAATGAAAGTAGAGACCAGAAAATGTCACGCAAACAGGATGTCGTCCTCTGGTCACCCGAGTATTTGATTTATGACACATGTATACAGACGTAACGTTTTGACACGAAAATACAGAAAAATTATGATGATTATTTTTGAAATAATACTTTCACATTTGAACACAACCATAGTTCGTAAATCTTTTACGACGTCTCTAATTGCTATAAATAGAACATATCGATCGAAGTTTCCTTCTATTGTATCTGAAAGCGGCTGTGCGCGAGACATAACAAAATTGACACGAAATGTTACATCCCCAAGCATAAAATTTAACCATTGTTTAATTTTAAAAATATTCAATATTTTTTTTACAAACCCAGTAAATTTAATAAATAAATTTGTATATAATAAACGAATCAAGAAAATTAGGTGGAAGGATTTTATTTACTGCTGCTATTCCTCCATTTCTTCGGACCATATGAAAAAATGTCACAGAGATTGTCCACTGAATTGCATCAAAAACAATAATTACAAGTTTGATTATTTGCTTGACAATCATTAAAACATCATTAGTTATTAAATATGAGCATCAGAAAATTATTAAATAAGTTTATTCATCTAAGTTGTGAAAGAAAAAGAAATAAATGGCAATTTTGATAGACGTAACGAAAATTCCTTGACAGCGAATTTAGGATCATATAACAAATGGCTTTGCTGTTCTTGAGCAGAAGATTATTTCCTATATATTTATTTGTAAAAATTTGATCTCCCATTGTGGCCCCACCCTCACCCCGGGGGCCCTCATTTGAACAAATTTGATTCTACACTACCTGAGGATGCCTCCATATCAATTTAACTAATCATGGCTTTTCTGTTCTTGAGAAAATGATTTTTTCCGATATATTTCTATGTAGAACTTTGGTCCACCTTTGTGGCCCCATCCTACCCCTGGGGGTCATGATTTGAACAAACTTGAATCTACACTACCTGAGGATGTTTCCACATAATTTCATCTTTCCTGGCCCAGTGGTTCTTGAGAAGATTTTTAAATAATGCCATTATTTTTTCACTAATTCCTAATTATCTCCCCTTGAAAGAGGGCTTGGCCCTTCATTTGAACTTGAATCCCCTTTACCCAAGGATATTTTGTGGCAAGTTTGGTTGAAATTGGCCCAGTGGTTCTTGAGAAGAAGTCGAAAATGTGAAAAGTTTACAGACAGACAGACGGACAAAATGCGATCAGAAAAGCTCATTTGAGCCTTTGGTTCAGGTGAGCTAAAAATAGCAGGTACCTTGTGGAAGCAATATTAAATATGTTATCAAATTTTTCTCCATCAAATATTTTGGCCGGTACAATCATGATTTCAGTCAGGTAAAAGAATTGGGTACCAGCAGATTTTGAAAGGCTTGTATCATATACATGTATTATATTTACATGTAGCTTATGATTTATATTCCTTAACATTCAGATTAGGCCAAAAAAAAATTAGTCTTGTTTCCTGCTACCAGCCTGAAAAAAATAGGGTAGGTAGGTTGGAAAATTATTTTATTATCTTTTTTATTTCATTTTTTCCGACAGCATATTCTGAATATGAACTAATACATGATCAAATTAAACATAAAGGAGAAACAAGTCATGACATAACCTTTGTTCACTTACTTTGTATGCTGGACTAGTTCAAATATTAAATACGACCGACAGCACTTGAGTCTTGACTTCTGCCAATGGCTGTTGCCATTTTGTTTTATGTTAAGACGGAAACCAATCACGGTTACAGAACGATGAAATTCCGGAAATTCTCGATTTTTTCCCCCAAACCTAAAAAATACTTTAGGGGTTGGATGCCAAAAAAATTAGGGTCAGTTGGGTAGCAGGAAACCGACTATTACTTTTTGGCCTTATTCATTGAATAAAGTCTAGAACAGACTGATTCACTTTACATTAATACTGTTCTGACAATATTTTCTACAGTTTTCTATGTTTTTACCTGTGATAGTTTTCTTTTGTTCCATAGCTTCATGAAAGTTTTAAAGTAGGCTTTCCTCTTTGGAGATGACATTTCTTTGGGGTTCTTGTGTTTCTGTGGACAATATTTTAACATTATCTTATCAGTAGATTCTGATGATCAATGTAAAATTGTTAAATAGAAGTATCTCTAACTTCAATATTATAAATTTAATAATATACTGGTAAAAATCAGTAGTTCATAATATTCAATGTACAGCACATTCAATTCTATTACTGGGTAATATCATTTACAAACTTTTTCATACAGAACCCATTTTTAGAATGTTACAAGAGTTATCCTCCCTACCTCTTCTTCAAGCCATGTTGTGAACTCCACTTGCTTACTAAGGAAATCATCCATAGATAATTTATCTGATGTGGAAAAATTTGAATATTAGAATAAAATACGTTCTTATTAATTTGATAAAGATTTTCTTACAAACATTCTGAAAAACCATTATTTCTGCTGTTTTCTGCAGTTATGGTATTTACTTTTCTCTTTTCTTTCTTGTTTTTCTTTTTCTTTTTTCTTATCTCTTCTTGTTGACTTCTTGGCAAAGGTTTGGAGTTTTCGGCTGGCTTTGTGTACATCATCACAGGATGATCCAGACACTTAAGAATGAAAAGTTAAATATGTCTCAAAAAAACTCATCATCTTTAGTAGATGGCAGTTTATTGATGTCAGTTGTATGATGATTAATTGCAAGCTTTTAAGTGATATGAAATGCTAGAACTTATATTTATATATTATATACATCTTTTACTTATAAAATGCACTAGGAAACCAACAAAACTGCATTCATCCTAATGTGTGAATCTACTAAATGAATAGATATGTGTACAAGGTTACACAAAGCACTAACAATGACCAGTAATATAATAAATATACAGATATTATCCAACACGACCACATAATTTTACTAGGGCTGGGATGATATATCGAGATATCGATAATATCGATTCAATGTGAGGATGATACGCATATCGATACGTATGAAGAAATATCGACATATCGCCCAAAAAATTCTGACTTGTGTTTTTCTTTGTTTACTTAACATTTTGGGTTTAATATATAAAATAAATATGCTTAATATAAATATAAATATGAAATACATAATAATTAAGACCACTTGTGCAAAATAATTAAGTTTTACAACAGATATGCAACTTCTTTGAATAAATTATTCTTATTTGTGAAGAAATGTTTTGTTCATTTCAATATAAAAAAAGAATTTATAACCAATTAAACATATCGTGATACATATCGTATCGTGGCTCAAATATCGGGATACGTATCGATATAGAAAAAGTTGTATCGTCCCAGCCCTAAATTTTACGTCATCTGCATAGGAAGGGTGACATACCGGTACATCTTATGCATAAGCGATCCTTTTCTAACAAATGTTAACCTATAAACAACGTCTCTGGCTACCATGGACAGGAGGAAATTAATATACTTGCAGATGCTTTTGATTATGGATACATAATTATTTATCAGATCTATTCATAAATTCAAAATCTCAATCCTGATACAAATTCGACATTGGAAAGAAAAAAAATCCATTTTTCTTCATTTTATTTTTCTTCTCTAAAAATTCAAATAAATGAGCAGCGGGTTTGTTAACCTAAAAAAAATGCTGTACATATGTAGGAACACCCCTTGCTAGTGCTTCAAATATGTACATAATCATTTTTATTTTATCACAAAATACAGCTGTACAGCTCAAATTTATTACACACCATTGCATCACTATCAGCCATTATACTATAGCAAGCACAGCGAGCTCAATAGACTAACTTGTAAGAACTGAAGAAATTTGGAATGAAATCTGTATATTTGTCAGGCAAATTTTCTTGTGCAACATTCCCAGAATTCCTTCGCAACCAGGATTCCATGCGAAAGTATAACAAAAAATACAAAAGACCAAGGATAATTGTTCCTTATCAAGAGATACGTTTACTTTTTTTTCTTTGCAGAGAGCTTAAAAGAAAGAAAAAATAATTGCATCTACTCTACAATTTATTCATTTAACATTGCACAAGACCTGTAGTCTCGTTCAACCAGGCACTCCGCTTTCTCCGTAAATTCCGACGTCAAGTGACGTCACAGTCTAGACTGTGTCTCTTGCGGTTTGAAGTTTGAAGAGGCTTATCAACATTACATGTGCAGTGTAAAGGTTTTGATGGTACAACTGCGCTCGCCCCAACGGTCACACCATAAAACATATTATCTCTAATTCCTAGCGAGCGAGCTTAAGAGTGCCGTGCATGGCCCTATTATTTACACCCTATAAGTATAATCATGTGACTTAACAAAAGAACTATTCAAACACCTGCTGTCTCAAGATCTGATGAGCTATGTCCAGATATTTCGTGGTTGACTTCATCATCTGTTCCATCATCCAAGGTACCATTATCACCAAACACATTACTCAGTCCCACCTTGTCAAACTCTGGTTTGTCCTCCTTGAGGTATGTAAACTCCTGTCTTTCCCCTTTGTTTCTTTTCTTGTCTCCTGATGAGCTTAAGGAGCTGGATATCGCAAAGAATCCTCTCTTCTTTGTCCTATTTTAAACAAACTGAAATTCTTTATAATGTATCAGAACAGGGACCTATATACTTAGTATATAGGTCCCTGATCAGAAGCATAAGAATAACAGATTTGCAACTCCGCCATTTACAGGTTTACTTGCGAAGTTACGATGCTAAAAACAACAAAGTCTTCTGTGAGAGTTCTATCAGTTTTTCCCAAAAGACGGCTGCCAAGGACTTAGGTACATTACTTTCAAAAGTGGATTCAACATAAAATAATCAGTTTGACAAGCCAGAGACATAAAACACCTGATAAATCAGTCAGAGTCTCTGAAAAAATTATATAAAATAATAAATTTATGCAGAATTTTATGCAGGCTGATTTGCAAATTAGAGAAAAATTCATATGAATATGAATCTACCTTAATTTGTCCATGTTTTATTTCATTCTTTTTTCATCCATTCGAAAAAATTCAATTCCGCCGCCTAGTCTTTGTCAAAATGAAGTGATAAACACCATTGAGAAAAGCCTCGTAACGGCAAGCGTTTAGAAGACGCATAAGATTTTATTTTTTTTAAAAAAATCCTACTTTGACAAAACGAATATTTTATATTTATATGTTTCAATTAAATGATTTTCTAAAAATTAATTATATAAAAATGGTCACCCCCAAACGGCTGACAAACCTCACATTGTTCATTGTTGATTACCGTCTTATCACATGATCATTGAATATTGGAAGTTTTGAGGTGAAGGACACTCATTATCAAACGAAAGCATTATTGAAAAGTTTGTTGTATATGCTGTACTTTTGTAGAATAAAAATATGTTTTCTTCGAGTTTGAGGATGTTTAAGAGAATTTATAGGAATTCATGTGCATATAAACTTAGAAAATGTAGAAACTTATCGGGAAATATTACAAACTACGGAGCTACGTTTGTGCCACAATTGAAGAAGACTCCAAATTTGTCAGATTCCACTGCAGTGAAAGAGATCATAGATTCATATGACACATTTCTAGTCGATCTGGATGGAACATTATGGGCAACTGATCACTACAACTCTCTCCCTGGCATTCCAAGAGCCATTGATTTTTTGAGGAATAAAGGAAAGCAGATTCTTTTTGTAACTAACAATAGTTTTCATTCAAATTCCCATTACTTAAACAAATTTAAGACTCAAGGATTTGAGGCAGAGGAACACGAGGTTTTCGGTGTTGCCTATGTTGCAGCTTTATACCTTAAAGATATTCTAAATGTTACGGGTGATATTTATATGTTAGGCACACATGGTATGGCTGATGAACTGGACAAACTTGGTCTGAAACATTTTGGTTTAGGAAGGGATCCAGATGCTTCAAGTTTGCAGGTCGATAATCTGCTTAAAATGGAATTCAGAGAAAATGTACAAGCAGTTCTAATGGGATTTGATAAGGATTTTCATTACAACAAAATTTACAAAGCAGCTAGTTACTTAATGGACAAAGACTGTCATTTCATTGCCACCAACGATGCAGAAATTGCAGTGCAAATTGCACCCAATAGGGTACAACCTACAACTGGAAGTCTTATCCTGTCAGTGGCCGCTGCCTCTAAAAGGACACCCCTAGTGGTTGGCAAACCTCACACTCTCATGTTTGACTGTATTCTAGAAAAGTACCCAGAAACAGATGTAAAGAGAACTGTCTTTGTGGGGGACAGTTTGAAGGCTGATATTAGGTTTGCTAACAATGTTGGTATTGACTCTGTGCTTGTATTGACTGGAGCCAACAAAATGGAAGACTTTAAGGACTTTCCAGATGCTATCCCAACATATGTATTGTCATCTTTCGCAGATTTTTATGTACATTAGTTTTTACTAATACTGTTGCATATTTATGTTTGGTGAACTGCATGTATAGGGGACATACAATCTAATTTCTAAGGACTGTTTGGTCACTTTTTTTTATCATTTGAGAGAAAAAAAAATGTATCCACTTCAGCTTACAGAATGCTTGACAGCAAGATATTAATATAATCCTATTAAATCAAGTGTATATTGCTTCTAGTCTCAGGGATAATTTATTGTAACATGTACATGATGTATATATACTGATAAGTAATGTTTTTGTTTTATTTTTCAACTTTGACTGCCAATCATGTCAATGTAGAAATTCTCTTTTACTTTAATATATTCAGGATGCATTTTAGAAGTAGTCTTAATTTTTTTTTTTTTTTTTTTGAATTCATTGAAATAATAATAAAAATTCTTGCTTATTTATTCTTTGTCTTAACTTGAAATACACAACTTTAGGTGATTTGTAACAAATTGAAACTTGTCATATGAAAATGCAAACAAAGTAATTTTCCACAGCATGTACAATACAAACGGATTCCGGATAATAAAGAACAGGATTTTATAATGAGTATTGAAGAACCAGATACTTAATTTTTATCTCACAATTCTTCACAACCATTCCAGTCTGACATTGAAAAACAAAACTTGTGAAGAATTTGTCAGATACACGTATCTTATAATTTATTTGCAATACATTAAATCATGTAAATAACTGCAAACAAAACCATCTATTTCAAAATATATACATTTCAAACAAATTCTAAATCCTTTCCCAAAAGATTAAAGAATCATTTAAAAGGCTTGCAACTTTCAAACCTATACAATAAACTACTTCAAATAAAGCTTGGAATCTTCTCTGGTTAAAAGGAAGGATGAACAATATATTTGACAATTAACTTCTGGTTGTCTGGTGTGATTACAGTATAAATTAAAGTATTAAAGTGACAGTACGACTTGATAAATTTTTCCTACAGGATTTGGATTTTTTTTACTACTCATAAATATATAAACTTTCAGAAAATTACAACTTTCACAATTAAATAATTTTGATTATTTCATTAAAATTAATAGTTATTTATTGGACGTAAATATATACATCGCAACGTGTTCGGGGTTCCACATTCCATGCCATGCACGCATGCGTAGTTTTCATAAACAAAACAGCATGGTAAGCATGGTAAGAGAGGGGAAGCCCGGTAGGCCTGCTACATTGACAAAGTCGACCAAAAAGAAACTGAAATTAGAGCTTGAAAAAGCAACTTTCCTGACTAAAATTTAGTTTGGGGATTAATATAATCGTTGGATAAGGAAGAAACGGGAACTCAGCGACACTCAGGCAGGGCTCTCGAAGGTTCTACTCGACAGGTTTGTTGATACTTGTTATCATTTCTCATTTTTCCATCGCTTTCAAAGGAAAAAAAATAGTGTAAACTCAACATAAAAATACACCTATGACTTATAAACATTGTTGCCATTTGAAGTGTTATTTTTTTTGACTGTGCAGAAAAATATTTTGTTTGACATTTGCCGCGATAACGTATGACTTGGTGGTTTTTCCTTTCTCGGACCCCAATACACAAAACGTCAACATTTGTACTTTTAATTCTTTTAAATTCGCCTGAAAGCAGACTAAAATCTTTACGATTATTATTTTAGATTATTTCATCAGAAAATTATGATAATTTGCTTTTGACAATTGCTTTTATCTCATATTCATTATAAATGCAAACTCTACAGTGTAGGCACGTGCTGTTTTAGAATTCACGTGGTACAAATAAACAGATCTAAGATTGCTCCAGTTCGTACGACCCTTGATTTTCCGGAAGATTCTAATTACATTAATTTTGTATAAGGAGAGAATATTTTTGTTTTGTTTCTCAAACTGCTTACATCAACTCTATACTTTATTTCTTAATGATATATTGGGTAAATTTGAATGAAAAAGCACACGTTTTGCTGTCGCTTTAAAACACATTTTATGCAACTTTAATGGCAATTAGGCCATTAACATTTTTTTTGAATGAAAAGATGGTTTATTAAAGAATGGTTCATTAGTAATTGATTAATAATTTTAATACCAGTTAATTGCTCTAAATTATAACTTTTTTTATGGGGGATGAGTGTGGGGTTAGGAAATTTTATCCATGATCAAAATCAGGATTTAAAAACATCTGAATCACCAAATTTTAAACTACTCATGCATATGGATGATTCTGTAAGTTTAATGTAAAATTAAAGATATAAGATTGATAAAGTGCAATTTTTAGTTGTAATCTCAATTGAAATGATAATAAAATGAAACATTTTTGCCATGGGATGTTTGAAAAATATTTTCCATTGATTTCTATTAGTGTTTTTACCAAAATTAAAAAAAAATCTATATTTTCCCCAAGTAAATTATATATTATGAAAATTAATATATATATATATATATATATATATCTATTAAATACTGTATGTGTTCATAAATTAGCCTATTCAAAATTTAGAGCAATCACTGGGTATGGAGTTGTTGGCGTAACCATGAATTATTGCTATACATGTCCGTGTCCTGTATTGTATTTAATAAATTAATGATTTCTTAGCAGTATTCATGAATTAGTGCATTGTTGTCTGCACCAAAGCTGCTTAAATATGAACCCCCCTTTTTTTAAGTACACATACAGTATAAACACGAAAAATATTCCAATATGTTAACTTTTGAAAATTGTCTTAGAGGTAGGCAGCAGAACAATACTATCCCTCGCATTTCTTTGTTCTCTTGTTTTCATGTAATATTTTGCATGTTTTAAACATTTCAAGAATGGAAACTGACATCACTTTCTAGGTTTCCTCTCATCATTTCGTACTTATTTGTGACTAATAACAAAATACTTGCAAGCTTCACTGCTTGGCATATAAGCACACTGTCAGGCTATTTAATCTCTACAGAGACCAGTCTTTTTTCTCTTTTAAATTTCCTACATAACTTGGGTTGTGAATGGGGATTCCACTTCAATAAATGAAACTGAACTAATCTCAATGGACACACCCATTTAACATGTATTCAGCTGAGTGAACCAAGTCAGACACAGATTCGTCTAAAAAAAGTCATTTAGACCAAATAAAGAAATAATATTAATAATAAAAAAAAAAACAACAAACCAAGACAGTGGTCTGAAAAACAATGCTGACCATGTGGGTCACTTGTCTAAAAAAAATCATTTGCCCAAACATACACTGTGTATTTTACTTACATTTCCCAACAGGCAAAGTGTTTATTAGAGAACAATGTTTAAAATTGAGCAAAAATTCAAATGTTCAAATTTATATTTATATTGATAATCATAATGACAGATGATATGTACAGATCAGAATTTACATGAAATGAAAACCATGTATACAAAGTATCTCTTCAAGAAAAACTGTCAGTTAACCCATTAAATATTATGACTTCATTCTTCTAATGCAAGTGTAGCTATGGTATAATGTACAATACATGTATAAATAATATTAACTGCATCTAAAATTTCTAATACATGTTATGTAAACAAAGTTGATAATTATAAAGCTTATGAACTTCAAAATAAGTTAATTTACACTAACACAGCTACAAAAGATTTAAGTTATATCATCAATGGGAGAGAATTTTCTGAAATGCTTCATTAAGTGTAGAGCATACACTGTCAATCTCATTATCGGAGAGCTGGTTGTTCACAGATATCCTGATACTTGGCACAGGGAGCTTATGCTCCTCTTCTTCTAAATAGCGAGCAAGAGTTATAGCGACTTTGTTTTCCCTAGAGAGATCCGCTACCTTCTGCAAAGTCTGAACATCAAAATCTCGGTCAGTGCTTGGCTCAGCCAGTCTTATATGCTTGATAGGTGATAGGGGTTCTCCCACTATAAGTACCCCTTTGATTTCTCTCAGCTTTTCATGGATTTTTTCAGAATTCTCGCGTAGCTGATTCAGCATAATAGGCTGTTCATCAATCAAGTGCAAGGACTCTATTGCTGCTGTGGCTAGCATGGGTGGTAAGGATGCAGAAAAACAGTATCCAAGTCCTGATAATCGCTGATGATCTACAATATACTTTTTCCCACAGCAGAATCCTCCAGTTGATCCAATAGCATTTTCTAATGATGCTGCTATCAGGTCAACCTCATCCTGAGAGATGCAATAATGTTCTGTTATACCTTTTCCAGTTGCCCCCAGAACACCAAATGATAGACTTTCTTCAATAAAGAGTCGAACTTTGTACTTCCACTTCAGCTCAACTAATTTTGGTAGTGGACACAAATCTCCGTAGTTAACATAAAGTCCTTCCACCAAAAGAAATCTCCTGGTCACTTTAGCTTTCTTGGGGTTCTTTTTATCTTCTTTGGCTTGTTCAATAAGAAGACGTTCAAGATCTTCCATGTCGTTGTGCTTAAACCACTTGATTTTGCTTCTTGAGGCAACTAATCCTTTTTGAATAGCAAAGCAGACACCCTCATCTGCAAATATCACATCACCTCGCTTGGAGTATGCTGGTATAGCACTTGCTATTGTAGCGAATCCAAATGCATAAAGAATAGCTTCCTCACAGTTCATGAATTTAGCTAGTTTGTCCTCTAGTTCTAAGTGAACATCCATAGTACCATAGAATCCTCTGGGCCCACATGAACCCACACCATACTTCTTAAGAGTTTTAATGGCAGCAGCCTCAACAGAGGGGTTGCCAGCCATACCTAAAAAGTTCAGTGTAGCCATGTTTATGCAAGACTTTCCATTGATTGTAACATATTTACCAGGTTTCCCCGTAATTATATTATTTTCCATAGCCTGTAATACTGGGTGGTCTTCCGGGATTTCGGGGGCAAGAGGTTCGGGCTGCCATTCCGCAATCAGTTCCTCCTTTTCTTTCTCAGTTAGAACGGATTCCGGGGCATACGCCTTTGAGAAAAACAGTAGTTTAAAGATCCAGATTATAAGCAATGCTTCAAAGAAAAGATGGTACGATGGAGCCTGTAGCAATGCTTGAAACATATCGTACATTTCCCATGTCTGTGGAATAAACCCTGACGCCATGGCGTGATTTGTTCATAACCATTGACAAAGACCGATCCCGAACTCTAAAATTACACAACGATAAACACAAAATATTTTTTTATCTTATTTAGGTTTAAATTTTTTTAAAAGGATTTTTTTTATGTTAATAACAATTGAGAAATTTATGGCTATGTATGTGAAGAGTTCGAAAGTCTAAACCTTGATTCATTAAATGCTCGGGATCAAAGTACCAACTCTGCGATTTCCTGCACGAAAAACGCAAATCTTGATTGATGCATAGTGATTTTATCAATTTTTCATCATGACAGCGATCAATTACAGTAAATGGGACCACATAGAGGTAAATATTTGAGCGAGAACTTCTGTTTCTATTAAAGCAGATTCTTGGTCTAATTCGATAGAATAATAGGAAGTTAAAATGTATACTTTCAGTTGTAATTTGCAGAATGTTCCAGAAAATAGTAAATCTGTAGAGATTTTAAAGTAAAAATCTAGCATGATATACATACACTTCATAGGACATCTTGAGCATATTTTAATACAGGTTATTTTGAAAAGTTTCTCCAAGAATTGACAATTATTTTCTGTACTGATGAAGATGACAACAATAAAATGTTGACACAGTGAGTCTCCTCAGAGATTGACATGATAGTTACTGTATGTGTACTTAAAAAAGCGGGGACTACAATGTTCTAATTCACAAATACCGTTAATAAATCATTGATAATTACAATAAATGGGAGCAGATGTTTGTAATACCCAGAAATACCCAGTGATTGTGCAAAATCTTGAGTACATCAATTTATGTGTACATGTACAGTATTTCCTGCACATTAGATTTCAGATGATGAAGATGACACCCACCCAAATGTTGACACAGCAAGTCTCTTCAGATGGCGTCATCAGGCCAGGGTGGAGAGAATGGAGCAAGATAAAAAAGAAAAAGAAGACTTTGAGAAAGGTTATGCAGAGTGAGTTATAAGTCATTCTTAGTGTTATAAATGGTTACTTAGCAAGATTGGGCCATTTCAAGTTTCTTTTTATGTTTAGTGTCCACATGCACCTTGGTTTTCAACATCACAGATCAGAATAAAAAAAAGCATTGTGATATTGATTTTTTTGGTAAAAACCTTTGAATTCTGTCTATTTCTCTCTATTTATCTAAAATCTGTCAAATTATGTATATATTTGGCATTTAATAATTTATTTTCCTAAGGAATAGACCTTTCAAACAGAAAAATAGCTTAATGAAAACAAATCCTTTGAATGACATCATTTAAAGGACTATATTAAAGCCAGTGTTTTATTCTTGTGTTGTTTTTTTTTTTTTGGTGAATAGGTAGGTAGGTGTTTGAAAGATGGGTGAATGCTAAGGCCATTCCAAGTTTTTTCTCTGTTTAGCGTCCATCCATCTTTCAAAAATCTACCAACCTATTCACAAAAACAAACAAGCCAAAAAATAAAAATAAATCATAGACTTTATAGTCTTTAAAATGACATCATACAAAGCATTTCATTTCATTAATCTATTTTTCTTGTACAAAAATCTATTCTTTAGCAAAGTCCAGGTATTAAATGCTTAAAATATACATGATATGGCATATTGTAAACAAATACTTAGAGATATTGACAGCATTGAAAGATTTTGACCAGAATAATCAATTTCAGGACTTCCTGATTTTGTTTGTTAATTTTTCTCATATGGGGTGTCAAAAACTAAGATGCGTGTGGCACTAAACATAGAAAAAAAAAGCTTGGTATGGCCTTATTTAACCTTCCCAAAGGCAAAATTAGATAAAAGATGTTTTTTGTTTATTCTCTGATCAAAATTTCATTTGTAGTATGTATATTGAGGATTGTAAGTAATTTGTGGATTTCTATGAAATCATAAATTTAGCACAATAATCTTGATATCAAAGAAGAAAAAAGTGTTAATTTAGAGTTGAATAATGTTTCATTTTCTTCTTCAAATTTATAGACATCAAAGAAAAATGAATGAAATCAAGCAGAAATTAAAGGAAGCTGATTTGGTATGTGTGTATAGTTTTTAAATTATTTATCTTTAAGACAACCTATTAGAGGTACTAAGAGTTATTTACAGCTCTCATGAGACAAAGGCTCAAGTGAACTTTTCTAATCAAAGAATGTATGTCGTCTGTCTGCCCCTATATCTGTCGTACGTCTAATTTTTTCACATTTTCGACTTCTTCTTTAGAACCACTGGGCCAAATTCAACTAAACTTGCTACAAAGCATCTTTGAGTGGAGAGGAAAAATCTTAAGAACTACTTGGCCAGATAAGATGAAACTTGTGTGGAAGCTTTCTGACATAGTGTAGATCTATTTGAGTTAGTTCAAATCATGGCCCCCAGGGATATGGTGGGGCCACAGTAGTTGATCAAAGTTTGCAAGGGAATATATAGGAAAAATTTTTAATACCTTTTTCTCAAGGTTAGCAGAGTCATGATTTGTGATGTATGCAAACATGATCAGGTAGTGCAGAATCAAATTTGTTCAAAACATGAGAATAGGGGATCAAAGTTTTACATTGGAATATGTAGGAAAATATCTTTCAAAAATTTTTAATTGAAAATGAAGCATCCTAGGATGTGTGAATTCAAGTTCGGTTATGCCATATGACTTCTTGCAGACATCCCTGTAGACATTGTGTAACCGGAAGTAGAACTCTTTAGTAGATAAATCAACAAAGTTCATAGCCAACTTGGCTTAAAGCAGTAAACTATCTCCAGTTATCAATAATCAACCCAGGTAAGGGGATATCTGAACTATGATCAACGCTAAAAGAAAACACAGTTGTAAGTTTTATAAATTTAATAAAGTGAGAATTAACCTTTGTAAATGATAACAAATAATAAATAATAGTCAAAATTTAACAGAGAATAAAGGGAGGAATGTGAAAAACCTATGAAAATAATTTATGTCCCTACTGAGCTTCCATACTTATGAAAAAGGTAAAAAATCCTATTAAACTGCTATAAATGTCAATGATTTGGAAAAATGTAAGGGAAATGAGCTACATCACCCAATATGAACTCTACTAATCAACACTCTAGAGTTGAACTTAAAATAATAATGCTAAATCTGGACTCAAAAAATATCTAACCCAGAAAATAAACAACACCAAAAATAAATAATAAATAGCGGTTCTAGAAATTATACCTGTTATCTACAAATCCCTAGACCAAGCTGGACTTGGAAAGGGGAAAACTAAATTAACTCTATAAAACCTACATCCTAACTGTTTCCTAACAAAAACCTAGAACTTGTGAAAAACTAAAGCTAGCTAAGACCTAGAGTACTGTTAAACCATGAGGTTTTCTTAGCACTCTAAGGTACTAATCAAATAGTGCTCATAAACCATGAGGTTTTCTTAGCACAGTAAAGAGGAACTAACCATGAGGTCGTGTTCCCCAACCCAAGTGAAGAAAACTACACGAACACAGCTTTAAGTACCCTAGCTATAGGCCCAAAAATAAAAGCCAATAAACATCAAAGATCCTACAACTTACCAACTTAACCAATCAGAACACAGCTACCAAAACTACTATTTTTGCTACTACTATGGAAAGACTCCCAACATGGATGACACTTCCTGTTTAAAAAGTAAAACGTGGAATGTCAACACATGTCCTAACTTATAAAAGACAAATAATAAAAGGGTTTTACGTAAGTAACAACTGAAAACATAAGGTAAATAGAATTATCAGACTGAAATACCAACAAATACTTGCAAAATATAATTTACGAAATGAGGGCTATGAAATAGAAATCTAAACCACTACAGTTGTATACAAATTTAATTAAACTCCCACTTTTAAAGGAAAGGAAGGGGACACAACACTTATTTTTTAGCTGTAAACCTCAAACAGTTTTATGGCTGTTAACTCAAGGTATTAACATCATTATCCCAGGTGAAAGATCTTGGAGCAAGTCCATTTACCAAGTATTATACTAAAAGTTCTACCTGGATCAGACTTGCAAATAAGCATACAGACAGCTAGTCATGCCTCTGAGTCTGATGCTGCATCTGACATACATGTTTATTCTTCAGTAGTAAATATCATTTTTGAATTGGTCTATTCTCGGGAACAAAGGAGCCACACATAGTCTAACTAGACCAAACTTACAAGAGTGATGCACATTCTTTTTTTTTTTAAGCAGGCTCATTTACAATTAACTAAAAGTCTTCTATTATACTGTATGTAGCAGACTTGCAAGGTTTATGCATCCAGGGATGCTAATAACCATTCTTGCTCCAGATTCTGCTTCTGATCTATAGGTCTTGAAGCAGGTCCTCTCTTATATAACGCTAACTATTTGATCGCGGCCTGCACCAGATTTGCAGAAATGATGCATCTAGAGATGCCTACTACTCAAGTATGGCTTTAGTTGCAGATTTTCCATTTATGTACATTGAACATTAGAATGTTGAATGAAATTAAAACATCTTATTAATTATTTCATCGATAAATATGAGACTTTGCCTCACTTACAGAAAGTGTTCTTTTTAAACTTTGATTACTCATGGTTTCTAAATGCAGAACAGTGAAACAACTGTAAAAGCTGAACTTTCAGAGTTGGAGGCTCAAGAGAAGAAATGGAAAGAGAAAGAAGCAGAACTAAGGAAAAAAGAAAAGGTACATGTATTTGGTAGAAGGTCAACACACAATGAAAATTCTAGTGAAAGTCTTATGTTTATTGCATAATGTCTTAAACTATGATACATATTAATTTATTTTTTTCTTTGCCTTATATACAAAGCTAACATTATAGTCATGTACATGTGATGTACAAAAGTATATAGGGTCCCTGTGAATGCTCTTTTGGGGCATAACAATTTATAAAATAATAAATTTGGATTCTGATATCAAACAATTATTATAATAATTTAGAATTCAACTTATATGGAAAAGTTGTTAATTGTAGAATTATAACAAAAATACAATTTCTCTCTTTCAAGTTAACTCCCCTGAACGTTGACACCATATGCCATGAAGGAAAATCAAAAACAGTGAGTATAACACTTAAATACTTTAAATGATGATGATCTGTTGAGCTTTGCTTATTGTTGGGAACACAGTATGTCCTTCTTATTATGAATAATTGGTATAATTATACTTGTCCTATGATCAGATGCACCCTCGCCTTCTGTAAACTTTCAGAGCAGTTGTCAAGGAAATAATTTTCAAGGAAACCAATTCGTTCCTTATGGGCCTCCGGGGCCACAAAGTCAATTTGCTGGGTATTTATCACCAATACCAAACCCTCAACAACAGCAACAGCAGTATCAGCATGTTGATATTCTTGAGACTTTGAAAGTTATGTCGAATAAATTAGAACAAGTATCAACTAAGCTAAACAAATTAGACCACATTGAAAAGAGACTCAATGAACTGGAACGAAATGCCGTAAATGTCAACACAGAGTTAAAAGAGATGAAGGTCAAGGTTAACGGTGTAGAGGAGTGTGTGACACATATCAGTAAACAATACGATGACCAAACAAGGGAAGTTAAAGAAATGAAAAAATCTGTAAGTAACATAAGAAATGAAAATGAAGTTATCTTGAATGAATTAGAAATAGTGAGGCATAAATTCGAGGATTTGAACGAACGCCATTTAGATCTACAAACTAGATCTATGAGAGACAATCTCATATTCAGTGGTATACCGGAGACACAAGACGAAAACACAGAGGAGGTACTGAAAGAGTTCATAAGCTCAGAAATGAATATCACAGAAGCTCCACAGTTCCATAGGGTACACCGAATGGGGAAGAGATTAACGGATAAACACAGACCAATCGTCGCAAAGTTTGTGCTGCATAAAGAAAGAGAAAAAATAAGAAAGGCCGCCCCATCAACCCTAGAGGGAAAAGCATTTGGAGTGAATGAGCAATTCCCCAAGGAAATTAACGAGCGCAGGAGAGTCCTATACCCTCACTACAAAAAAGCAAAAAAACTTGGAAAGAAGGCTGTGATGATTGTGGACAAACTTTTCGTAGAAGGTAAACAAATCTTTCCACCAGCAGGTAGATTTGTGGCTGATCCAGGTTCCGATAACGTTCCGATGTAGGTAAACCACGGAGAGCAACAACAAATAATAGAAAATGAAATTAAAAACTTTTCAAGTAACTCTCTCAAACCAGAAGACGCATCTAGAGTAAGATTGATATCCATTAATGTATGTGGGTTAAATTCAAAACTCCAATCTCCTGATTTTCTTGATTTTATAAATAAATATGATATAGTGTGCCTTACAGAAACAAGAACAGATAAAGCTGACATAATCGACATTCCTAATTTTAGTGCATTTTGTAAGCATAGAACAAATTTGTCATTTCGGAAATCTGGTGGAATAGTTGTGTATATTAGAAATTCAATTGCTAAAACCTGTAATATTATTAATAATGAATGTGACAATGTACTTTGGGTCCGAATAGAAGGTAAAACATTTGGGATCGATGATCATTTATTAATAGGTACAGTCTATATACCACCTGTAAACTCCAGATTTTCATCTAGTGAAATATTTGAAGAGATTGAAAATGAAATTTTTAATCTATCTACAGAGAATAAATGTATTTGCTTACTTGGTGACTTTAACAGTAGAGTCTCAAATCTGAAAGAATTTAATGATTGTGATGAACCTTTTGTTCAAACCCATGATCGTGTGTCTGATACTGATTTTAATTGGGCTGTTGATCAAATCGATATAAGATGTCTTGAAAAATATGGTTTTTCAATGGTAAGAAATTCAAGAGATATGATTGTAAACCAGTATGGGAAAAAACTTATTGATATTTGCAAACATTGTAATATTTTTATTCTCAATGGTAGATCCAAGGGTGACCCAAATGGTGAATGTACATGTAAACAAACTAGTGTTGTAGACTATTGTATTGCAAATTTTGAATTTTTAAGATATGTTTCTGATTTTAGAATATTAACATTCTCTACCCTATTATCTGATGTTCATAATCCTGTGGAGGTTTTACTAGCCTTTGAAAAAGAACACGCTTCTAAATTAAATAACCCACAAAAACAAACACAAGAGATTGCTAAAAATTGGATTCCTGAGAAGCAAGAAACATTTCATTACTTTATAAAAGACAAAATAAATGCTATCACACTATTAGAACATGAAATCAGGAACACTATAGCAGGAAAAGTCACATCAGATTTTATAGATAACGTTGTCGAAAGAATAAGTGACATATTGGTATCAAGTGCTAAAGAGACCTTTGGCAAGAAAACATTTTATACAAATACATGTAAGAAAACAAATTTTAAATATAAGAAACCTTGGTTCACAAAAGATTGTAAAAATGCTCGACAAAACTTTAGGAAAGCAAAAAGGCTGTATAAAAAATTTGGAGGGGAAATTTTTAAAGCTGACTTGTATGAAAAAGAAAAAATATATAAGAATAAATTAAAAAATACTAACATTAAACATAGAGTAGAAATGAAAAAGAAACTCACTAATTTAAGAACAAAAAACCCCAAAGAGTACTGGAAAATCCTGAACACAAACTGCAATAAGCAAAGATGTAATGCTGATTTGAATGACCTTTTTACATATTATAAAGAATGCTGTAACGAAAATTTTAATGAACAAGAGTCAGAGTCCACAGTATTAACACAAGAAGAGCTTGATATTGTAGCTGATGTTCAGCTCAATCATGAAATTAACCAACAAATAACACATGATGAAGTGCGCAACAGTATTAATATGTTGAAAAATAACAAGGCTTGTGGTGATGATAGAATCTTTAATGAATATATTAAAAATTCATGTGACTGCATGCTGAATTTATACACTGAATTGTTCAACAAAATTTTTGACTCTGGTGTAATACCCACTCAGTGGGCTTGTGGAAACATAATCCCAGTATACAAAAATAAAGGGGACAATACTGATCCTAAGAATTATAGACCTATCACACTGCTGAGTTGTCTAGGAAAATTATTTACTGCAATTATTAATGAAAGATTAAACTCATATGCTGATAATGTACAACTCATTTTAGAAAATCAAGCAGGCTTTCGTAGAGGTATGGGTACAATAGATAATATTTTTTCATTATATTCTCTTGTAGAACTTTTTAGAAGACATAAAATGAAATTGTACTGTGCATTTATAGATTTTGAGAAAGCATTTGATTCGGTTTGGCATGTCGGACTATGGAATAAAGTTCTACAAAATAATATTGATGGAAAATGCTTTAAGATTATAACCAACATGTATAAAGGTATTAAATCAAAAGTAGTAGTTAATGGAATAAGTTCAGAAATGTTTGAATGTAGTATAGGAGTTCGGCAAGGGGAGAATTTGTCACCATTTTTATTTTCATTGTACTTGAATGACCTTGAGGAATTTTTATCTGGAAACAAAGCTAAGGGTTTACCTTGTTTGTCAGAAAAACTCGAAAGAGAACTAAATCTCTACTTACAGCTTTTTGTTTTATTATATGCAGATGATACTATTTTGTTATCAGAAAACGCAGATGATTTTCAGTACATGCTAAATACGTTTTCTAAATATTGCAAGACATGGCACCTTAAGGTTAATAGTAAGAAAACAAAAGTTGTAATATTTGGTAGAGGTAAAAATAATAGCTCTTTTACATTTGAAGGCTCCAAGCTTGATATAGTTGACAACTTTAAATATTTAGGTGTTACATTTTGTAAAAGTAATTCTTTCAATTTAAATACCAAAGAATTATATGACAAAGCTACTAAAGCAATGTATAGTGTTATTGGTAGATGTAGAAAACATAACTTATCAATGGATTGTAAATTAGACATGTTTGATAAAATTATCAAACCATTACTTCTATATGGATGTGAAATGTGGGGTTTTCACAATACTAAACTAATAGAGAAATTACACCTAAAATTTTGTAAACATATTCTAAGCTTGAAAACATCAACACCAAACTTTATGGTGTACGGAGAACTTGGTAGACACCCTTTATTAATTGATATCAAAGTTAGAATGATCTCATTTTGGGGTAAACTTATTAATGCTCAGAGCTCTAAATTGTCTGCAAAACTTTTATGTGCATTGAAAATATGTAAGAATCCATGGTGTGATTTTGTTCAGAAAATTTTAAATGAATGTGGATTGACTTATGTGTGGTATGAAAATTCAATTAATATATCTTGGCTAAAAAATAAGGTATATACCACTCTCTTAGATCAGTTTAAGCAAACATGGTTTAGTGATGTACAAACTTCCCCTAAAGGTTTGAACTATAGAATTTTTAAAAAATCATTAATCTTTGAAGATTATTTGTTGAATTTGCCTCCTAAACAATCCAAGAAATATTGTTTATTTAGAACTGGGAATACAAAATTACCAATTGAGACTGGTAGATGGTTTAACACCCCTAGAGAAAATAGAATTTGTAAATTATGTAACAGCAACGAAATTGGGGATGAATTTCATTATTTATTTAAATGTACTGATGTGTCTATAAAGAACTCAAGAGTTATGTATTTGTCAAAGTATTTTCATTTGAATCCAAATGTTTTGAAATTTGAAATGCTTTTTAATGTAACCAATACTAATCAACTTAGCAAAATTTGTAAATTGTTAGATATTATAATTGAGAGAGTTGGCTCTCTTGGTTGACATACTCTGTTACCCCTTCTTCAGGCATGTAATATTTTCTGTTTATTATACTGTACATATCTTCTCTTCACTGTTTTGTCAGTTATGAGAATAAAGTTCAAGTTCAAGATGTGTTTTAGTATAGCGTCTGACTGGATTCTTTGCCATCTTTGCATTTGATTTCTCCTCTGTTTTCCCTATGTAAGTTGAAAATTGACATTATTTTCCCACATTATTTAACATTGTTGTTAATAAATTTGTATTCAAATTTCAGGTAATGTATAAAGTATATTTTAGTTTGTTTGAACATAGCTAAGAAATATTTGTTGGAAAATTTTAAGATACAGTGTATTAAAAAATCTTGAATATTACATGTATGTGACTTCATAAATGATATTTTATATTGAAAACAAAATAAAATTTAATACATGTAAAACATAAAATTATTGAAAGGGGAAATTCTTCCCAATCACTCTTATCATGTTGCTTTAGTAGAAGGTTGGTAGTAAATGTTTGAGTTTTAATTACAGGTGATAAATAAACCAATACCAAAGAAAGAATTAACAGAAGAAGAGAAAAGTCAGAGACATGTAGGTACTCCAACAGCTAGAGGTTAGAAGTAAAAACTTCATTTTCAAATATCATTAATATTAATTTTCATCGTTAATATTAACCTTTCATATTGTGAAGGAACAAAATATACTTCTAGAGACAGCCAGAATTACTATTATTGGATCATAATTTGTTACATCCCATATTCTTTAAATTATCTCGCAGTATTTTGTCACCAAGAAGTAGCTTTGTTATAAATTGATATTTATTAAAGTTGATATAGGTACATGTAGTAGTTGTACACAATAAAGCTAAATCTGAAATATCAACAGTAAGTAATTACTCATTAGAAATTTTTAATCTCTTCTCAGAAAGAGTTTGTTGAGAAACATAAAGCTGATGCTAAGAAGTTTGGCATGTTGCGTCGGTTTGAAGATAGCCAGCAGTTTCTCATTGACCACCCTGAGCTTGTTTGTGAGGAGACAGCCAATGTACTTGTCCTCTGGTGTATAGATCTTGCAATGGAGGAGGTAAGGGCAGACAACTCCTGTGTACTTAAACTTTTACTTTTCAGTATGTCTTCTTGTCTTGATGATCTAAAATCTGTATTTGAGAGTGAATAAAAAGTCTATTTATTTATTGTCAAACTTTCAAACTGAAAATATAAAACCTGGTAGTAATTTAACAATTTTACGATTTATGTTTAATAGCTTAACCTTATTTCAGTCAAATGTTTATTAATAAATTCAAAAGTACTCACAATAAGCATATATTGAGGAGAGAATTAGTAAAAACTTTTCCCATATTTAACAAATAATGATACATAAACCCACATTTATTATGTGGATTATATTTGATTTTAAAACCAATTTAGAGAACATGCCAAGGTGATTCAGTGTAAGATCATTGTTGTCCTTGGGCCTTTTGTTTTAAGCTCTATTGGTCACAGACTAGAGGAGATTAAGTGATAGAAAGGTGTCAGTTGGCTGTCCATCAGTGTGTTTGTCTGTAAACAATTTTCAAAATGCTACTTCTCCTACAGTTTTGGTCCAATTTCAGTATAACTGGGTACACAAGAAAATTAGACCATGATTCATAATATTAGTTATCCAGGTCCAATCAAGGGTGTAAGGGGATTTACCCCAGGTTTTATTCCATACACCCTGAGGCCGAAGGCCCGAAGGGTGTATGGAATACAACCCGGGGTAAATCTCCATACACCCTTGATTGGACCTGGATAAAGAATTTATTTCCTATGTACCCAAATAAATTCTTTGTAAACAAATCCAATCGACTGTGTTTCAAGCTATCGATAAGATTTACTATATGTCCTACAATGCATCGTGACGTCATGTTATTTGCTTTTTATCGTAGAGAAACTATGCATTGTGACGTCACATTTTTTACCCCCGGCTCAAGTCGGGTGTACGGAAATTTACACCGGACTTTGTAACCAATCAAAGCTCATGTTACATAGGAAATAATTCTCTTTATCAGTTTTCAATTTTGGTGAATGATGTTGGCATGGTTATTATAAGTAGATATTTCAATGAAATCTTTTTTACCTCCTACAATTTTTGCCTAATTGCAGTAAAGCTTGCCACAAAAAAGAGACTAAATCAAGGGTCATTATTCTATTAATTGCTGCTGCAAAAGTTTGAAGTCCAAGTGCTTCCTGTTATATGTTCAAACCAGTAGAGCTAGGGATGCGCGATTTTATCAGTATACCGGTATATCACGATTTTTCACTGCGTGATACGTATCATGATACAGAGACTAAAATACTGGTATTTGGTACATAACTATAAATTCCAAAAAATTATTCATTTATTTGTTCAAACTATTGAATGACAATTATAGGAAGTGTAAAAAAGGTTGAAAACAGTTAAACAACATCATCAAAATATGCTTTATATTAAATAAATGAAAATTTAAAAAGTAAAGATATGTTTTTATAGCATATTTTTAAAAAATGTTATGGAAATTCATTTGAAATTTTAGTAAAAATTGTGTGTAAAAATATCACGATTTATCGTGAAATTTTTGGGAAAAAATCATGATATATCATGATACGAAATTTTTGCCGATACCCATCCCTAAGTAGAGCTACATTCTTGTCAGAGATTTCTGTTTAATATTCAGACTTAGCTTAAAACAGAACTGTAAGCTGTTAAATTTTTGTTTTTACTCAGAAAACTGATCTTATGAACCATGTGGCTCATCAAACCATTGTGATGAACTTTATTATGGAGTTGGCCAAACAGATGGACGTAGATCCAAGAAGCTGTGTTCGTCCGTTCTTCTCCAGGTATAAATGGCTGCTTTTGCTGCAGAAAACATTGCAAGAGGTTTTATAGTGAAACTGTTATTCTGAAATTTAATTGTATTATAACCATCAGAGCTTCCTTAATTAAAGCAGTTCATAAACTTTATTGTATGCATCATATACTCAAAATACAATTAACTTTATGCAAGAAAATTTGCAAACATTCATGTATATGAATGTAGCTTCTGAACTATAGCTCTCTGGTACAGAAAATTCAGAAAGACATACCAGAGAGCTACACACAGTTTCACCCATTGTAAAAACCTTCAGGTAATGGGTTTGATGTGGTGTCATATAATTTTTAGTAACTGGTTAATCACCTGTCTTTCTGATGGAGTACTCAAGTACGCAGTCATTATAAAAAAAAAGAATCCAAATTTAAACCTATCAATCTTCATGATTGTATATTGTTTTTATAGTTGTATGTAATTTTAACGTTAATTAAGTCAAACAGTGAAAAGAAGAAGATAAAATAGAAATATTTTCAATAAATATAAATATACAAAATTATTATATACATTCAATTTTAATTTAATGCAACTTTGGAATGATTATCAATATGAAATCAAAGCTAAATTTATGTATTACATTCATTAATTTCACTGTGCAATGTGTTTCGACCATTCGCACCATTGTGTAAATCCAAACTTTCTTTTGAACTTACATGGCTCCGTTATATCATCAGATTGCTTGCCTCAGTCACCTGTTAATTTTTTTTGATCTGTGGAAAATTTAGAAAGTTTAAAACAGTTGTTCCTCTGGTGATGTCACTATATTTCACACATAACATTAAATGATTTAACTTATTAGTTGTTCCTACCATGTAAGTAAATTCAAAGATTAAAGATTAAAAGTTGTCAGTTCATTTAAAATATTTCCAGACTGAAGATGGAAGCATTTTTGCTACAAATTAACAAAAAAATATTTTATCTAAATAATTTGAAGTGGAAATGTCAATCATGGCATGCAAGCAAAACCATGAGCTGCTGCTGACCAAGTGTTAATGGCTTGTTGTCAAAACATGACAGGGTCCTATATCCCTGCTAGCTAATTGAGATTATAGTATGATGATCACTGAATGTAAAATGTGCTTAACAGAAAACAAGCATTGTGTGGTTATATTTTTTCCCCAATACTTGGGTACTGATTTTAATATTCAATACTAGGATCTTTCGACAATTAAGCTGGGTGAAATCAAAGTCAAAGGTTTTTTTCAATGGATGGATATATAACTCTCTTATGTCTCCAAATTTTCTGTCAGCAAGGTACAATATTCTGCAGCTAACATTAACATAGATCATTTCTCAGTACAAAGTCCAAAGTTAACCTTTGTGGACATTTTTCAGGATTAAACTTGGAGAAAAGCAGTATATGGAAGCCTTCAACAGTGAATTGGATGCTTTCAAAGAGAGAATTACAAAAAGGGCCAAGGAAAAGCTACAGAAGGCCATGGAAGAATATGAAGAGGTTAGAAACTTTTAAAGAAAGCAGTAGATTCACTTGAATTTCCTCCGATTGAATTTGTGGCCTCTGGGTAAAGTCAGGCTTGACAAGGATTGAAGCTCAAAATTTTATCTAAGAATGCATTGGAATCAATGTTTTTAAGAACAAGATTTAGATAAGTCAAATAAGAAATCATAAAATTTATTTGATAAAAAGTAAAAAATACTTTTTTTTTACATTTTGTTTTATTTTTTTGTATTTATTATGTTCCCCAAACGAAGTTGGGGAACATATTGTTTTTACTCTGTTTCTTATTATTATTATTATTTTTCTTCTTCTTCTTCTTCTTCCTGGGTACTTTTTTGTCCGCGAGTGATCTCGTCAACTACTCATCCGATTGAGGTGAAACCTTTTTTAGGGTTAATGGGCATGTTATGTAGATTTGCGGAATCAAGGTCATTTTGAGCGCATGTGCATGCACGTGCGTGCGCGTGCAATGTGTAAAATGACCAATATACTTGATATAGCTGTAACTTTTATATTTTTTGATGAAATGCTTTGATACTCAGAATATAAGGATATATTAAAAGTGTAAACAAGATGACATGGTCAACATGTGCATGCATGCACGTGTGCGCACGCGCAAAGCGTAAAATGACATATACTTGATATACTCGTAACTATTATACGTTTTGATGAGATGCTTTGATACTCAAAATATTCATATATATTAAAAGTGTAGACAAGACGACATGATCATCATGCACATGCATGCATGCATGCATGCATGCACGTGCGCGCGTGTGCAATGTGTTAAATGACCAATATACTTAATATAGCCGTAATTTTTATATTTTTTTTTTATGAAAAGCTTTGATATTAAGAATATACAGATATATTAAAAGTGTAGACAAGATGATGTGGACATCATGCTCATGAATGCACATGGGCGCGTGCAATGGGTTAAATGACCAATATACTTAATGTAGCCATAACTTTTATATTTTTTTTATGAAAAGCTTTGATACTAAGAATAAACAGACATATTATAAGTGTTGACAAAATGGCATGGTCATTATGAACATGCATGCAGGTGCGCATGCGTGCAATGCTAAGATGACCAATATACTTGATATAGCCGGAACTTATTTATTTTTTGATGAAATGTTTTAATACTGAGAATATAAAGATGCATTAATAGTATAGATGAGATGACATGGTCATCCTGCACATGCATGCACGTGCGCGTGTGTGAAATGCAAAAAACTATCAATATACTTCATTGGCTTATTTAATGAAGCTTACAGGAAATAAGACACCAAAAGGGTGTTGGGGAGCGTTTGGGGAACATCTGTAACGGTCCCCGTTACAATTATAACTAGTTTTTTTTTTTTTTGTATTTATTTTGGATGTATTTTTTAATTCTGATTCCTTCTGATGCTGTGTAGGAGGAAAGACAGAAGAGGTTAGGACCAGGAGGACTGGATCCAGTGGAAGTCTTTGAGAGTTTACCTGAGGTAAGGCATGAAAACACACAACAACCTCCTGAACCCCCCACCCTACCCCCCAAAAATAAAATAAAATAAATAAAAACAAAAAAAAAATGAAATTAAAAAATCCGATATTGCTTGATACTGTAAATCACTTTTTATTTGCAGGAACTTTATTTTCACATAATTATGCAAGACCATATACTTGTGAAAATTTCAAATATTTTTATAATTAAAGATTATATACAGCATTATCCATAATTCATTAAAATTTTGTCTTGCTTGTTAATACCAAAAAAATTTCTTGTGAAAATACGATGTGAAAATTTAGTGATCTACAGTACATGTATTGCATTTAGTAATTTCAGGAATTCAAGTAAGACTGTTTAAATCAATTCAGCAAGTAAAACTATGTCATTTACATTATAAAAACATTGCAGAATTCACCATATTTAAGCTCATTTTTCATGGGCACCATCTAACCCTTACATTTTTGTCATCTTTTCTGTTACGATTTACTTGTTGCCTAATTTCAGTGCTTACAAAAGTGTTTTGAGTCAAAAGACATTGCATTACTACAAAAGACCATCACAGAGTTACCAGAGGAGGAGGCTCGGTATCACATCAAACGCTGTGTTGATTCAGGTCTCTGGGTCCCTGATGCCAACAAGGCACCAGAGGGCGCTCAAGAAGAGGAAGTCTACGACAAAGTGCAAGAAAGTGCCGATGGGGATGAAAAAAGCTTAAACAAACTTGATTGAGGAAAATGAAAAAAAATGCCTAAACTCTAGCATGCTTAAAAAACACTGGTCCTCAAAAATATGAAGAATTTTTGCATCATTTATGTGCAATTATTTAAGATATTTCAGTGCTCATAAACACATTATGTAAATTTCTGGTCCCACTATTTATCTTTTTGAAGATTTATCTGTGTCCAGATACATGTGTAGTATTTACCTTTACTTTGAGTTCTATTTGACAGTTTATTGTGAAGGTAAATGTTTCAGGACAGACAGGGACATACTCGCAACTCAAATATAAAATTGAATATGAGCTTGCCATCATTGAAATTTGCCATTGTTTGGGGCATTGGATTCACAAGCACATGTTGTTTAGTGTTTAGTGTTTTTTCTGTAAAAGTACAAAAACAACAATTAATGTTAGTCTGTGAGAATTGTTTTTGTCAGAGATGGAAAAGAATTGTTAAGTTTTAGTTTTGTGAATGATTAATTGGAGAAAGGAAGTGGCATTTGAAAAATTGAAGATTTCTTTTTGAGTAGTGGTACATGTATTTTGCTTGTACATGTGTTAGATAAATGTTCTCTTTAATTTACATACATTATATGTATATGTAGGTATCTGCAAATTTGTCATTACTACACTAGTATTTCAAGAACAAAGCATACATTTTTACCTTACCTCAAGCAAATCTTCATTTTTTTGTGATCTGATAATGCAATTTTGGCATATTTGTTCCAACAAAGAATTAAATGATTAGTTTGAAATGAGTTTTGTCTTGTGAAGATAATGCTGATTTTCCATGATCATTCAATCGTTTGATTAGTATTACGAGTTCATTAACATGAATAGGGAAATTAATAACCCAGAAAGAAGAGGAGTAGTGCATGTGTACCTGATCAGCAAAAAGTTTTTATCTTTGAATTGAAGTTCATGTTGTTAATTTCCTATGTATTTATTCACATCTGTAATTCATCTTGGCTGTTAAAACCATTTATTGAAATAAACTTAAGAAGTCACCTTCATGCAGTCATTTGGTTTGAACACATTGCCTTTAATTTTACAAATGGGCTAGGGCAGTTTCTAAAAACTTCCCCTTCAAATGAATCAAACATTTTTACAAATATATATGGGTTGTTGCAACCACTATTGAAATAATGCCCACTTCTGAAATGATTATTTCTGTAGTGGTTGACAATGTATTTCAAAATGAAGACCATTTTGCTTTTTACCTCACCTGAGCCAAAGGCTCAAGTGGGCTTTATTGATCAAAATTTGTCTGTTGTCATTGTTGTCGTAAACTTTTTAAAATTCCATCTTCTCTGCACCTGGATACTTAGAATAAAAACAAACTGCATGGTTATGATGAGCAAGAGTGCTTCTTCCAAAATTGTGAAGTTCATGGCCCATGGGTCAGGGATTCTGGAGTTAGGGCTGGGCTCCATTGATCATATACTGAAAATTCTTTTATTCTGCTCCTAGGTATTTAGAATACTAAATGCATGATATGATGATCAAAAGTGATTCTTCAAAGAGTTGAAATTCATGGCTCCTGGGTCAGGGGTTCTGGAGATGGGGTGGGGCTCAATTGATCATTTAGTGAAAATGCATTAATTCTTTGAAAATCTTCTTTTCTACTGCTTTGTACTAGGCAGACAACTATGTGCATATATAATGAGCAAGGGTGCCTCTCCCAAAACGGTGAAATTCAGGGCCCCTGCATCAGGAGATAGGACAGGGCTCCTTTAATTATATAGTGAAAATGCATAAATTCTTTGAATTTTTTTTTCTATGCTGTTGAGTATTCAACAAAGAAACTAAGTGGACGGTTATGATGAGAATTAGTGCTTAGTGCTTTTTTTCAAAATTGTAAAATTGATGGCCTCTAAGTGAGACAGGTGTTCTGGAGTTAGGGTGGGGCTCCATTATAAATTTATAATCATTTACTCTGCTATAAGAAAAGTTATTCCGGATCCCCTCCTTTTTTCACATATGATAATTAATGTATATAATGTAATTGACAGGTAAATTGAATACTAGTAAAAGAATTATCCTAGAATTTTTGATAGATAGTTTAAAAAGTACTTTCATGTCTTTAATAGTCAGGTAGATTTGTAAATAATAAATGAATTGAAATGAGACGTAAATATCTAATATATGTACATTAAATATCATTCAAAGACCAAAAAAGGCAAATACATGGGAAGGATTGTGCTGGGTGTACTCTGGCAACTTGAATTTTATGCTTAAATTCTAATGTCTAGTGTTTGGTGATAGTGATGGAGTGTAGATATCAGTGACATGTACAGGCAAGTTTCCGAGTTGCTGATTACCAGACTTACTATTGTGTTGAGCCCTGATCATGCTTTTTATTGTAGTTTATTTTATATTATTGTATAATTATTTACCATTCCATGAATTTTTTTCAGGGTTGAATTACACTTAGGTGACTGTTAATGCCCATGAGCCTCTTGTTAAATAAACAAAGTGGAAAAAGCCATTCAAAAAAAATCTCCAGGAGTCGTGAGCCTTAAAGGCCGCTGAACCTCCTTACGATTTTCCATTTCATGATGACGGCAGCTCTGCCTGAGGTGTAAAATTTTGATCGCCTTTTGTGACACATCCTTCCACCGGTTATCGTAATTTGAACAAACTTGAGTCTACACTACCGTAGGATGCTCCTTATCATCACTAATCACGCCTTTGCTGTTCTTGAGAAGATTTATTTTAATTTCCTTTAACTTGACTTTGACCTTCCATCTTGGCTCCACCCTACCCTTGGTTTGTGATTTTAACAAATTGAAAGCTATCATGTTATAAAGATTTAACATGAGTTTCAACTCTTCTGGCCATGCGGTCCTTGAAAAGAAGATTTTTAAAGATTTTTTTCCTATATTATCCTACGTAAAAGTTTGATCGCCTATTGTGACCCCACCCTATCCCCGGGGGACTTAATTTGTACAAATTTAAATCTACACTATATGTAATAAAGATTTCACGTAAGTTTCAACTCTTCATGCCCAGTGGTTCTTGAGAAGACGATTTTTGAAAGAATTTTTTTCCTTTAAAACTTGATTAAATGTAATTAATTCTTAACTTTCTCCCTTTAAAAGAGGGCATGTCCCTTCATTTGAAGAAAACTGAATCCCCTTCTGCTTTTTGGCAAGTTTGGTTGAAACTGGTCCAGTGGTTCTGGAGAAGTTTAAAATGTGAAAAGTATAAAAATACTCACAGGCAAAGCTCACAAGTTTGAGCTTTCAGTGCAGGTGAGCTAAAAAGGTATACATGCAATTCATTCTCAACATCAGTTGACGATTTATCTCCCCGGAGTAAAGTATGAGTACCAACGGCATGTAATTTCACTCTTCGCAGAAATTTATTCAAAAAGTCTTTTGTGGCTTCTGTATGAGAAGAAATAATAATGAGTATCTTCCACACTTCCACAAGACCTTACTAGCCTAGTGGTAGGGCGTTCGCATCGGGAGGCCTGAATTCGATTCTCGTTTGCAGCGCCGCGTCTAACTTAAAACGTTAACTTACAGTGTAGGTAGTGAATACTCCTTCGCCAAGCACCCGGCACTATACGTAGAAGTGGAATTCACGCGTCTTTCGGACGAGACCTTAAAAACCGAGGCCTCGAGACACGGTAGGCGTTGGCACGATAAAGAACCCTCACTGCTCAATGGCCCTAAGTGCCGAACATAGGTCTAAATTTGAAGCCCTTCACCCGTATATATGGTGACGTCTCTATATGATTGAAAATTTTGGGACGTTGAATAACATACAATCGATCATCAAATCCACAAGTGGACAGGTGACTCAAAATTACATCGAGAAAGGACTCTATTAACCACTGTGCACAGAATTGTGATGAAGCCTTGTATGTAATATATTAAGCGTCAATTTCCACAATTTTATAAACGAGGTGGCATTGGTTTATTATTAAAAATCGATGGATTAAAAATACATGTGGATAATGAGGACAAAAATCTTACAGCAAGGGGGAGCGAATTTCATTCATCACTAACAACAAAAAGTTGACTTTGCAGTAGGTATATTATAGTTTTTTGAATTTGTGTAGTTGTAATTTGTTGAATTACAACACGTGTTACGCAGTATGTCACTCAGATAATCAGACACTAGCGTTATCTGCTAGGTTATATTGTCGTTCAGCCATTTCTGTTTCGCCTTAACAAAGTAACAGTTATATAGGTTGTGAAATGCCCAAGCGTCTTTGTGCAGCAGATCAATTTCTTAAGTAACAAACACCTATCTATCCTTCTACAATACTTGGATTGGTACTATTAAGCTGGAAGGATGAACAGAATTACATACAGAGTAGGAGGGGAACAAACAGCTTTCTGGGGAAAAATGTTCAATATGAATTTCATGTACTGTACGAAAGCCAACTTCTTACTGCCAACTGCCCTCCGCCACTAATTATAGATGATCTTAAATGCACATGATTGAAATAACCTATGATAGCAACAATATTATAACATAAACAAGATGTATTCGTGAAACACTGATGAACCCGTATGGCAGCTCAAGAATAAGGTTAAAGTTTTTCAAATGCAGGTTAAACTCCAAGGTCAAGAGTAAAAAATTGTTGATACCTAAAGAAAGATCTTGTCACAAGGAATGCATAAGTAAATCCCTATAGCAGCAACCGTTTAATAATTATAGGCAAGGTTAAAAATTTTTCAAATGTTGGTCAAACTCCAAGGTCAAGGTCATTGGATAAAAAATGTTGGTAGCCAAAGAAAGGTCTTGTCACAAGAAATACCCATGTCATATATGAAACCCTAGCCAATCAAAAAATATGAGCAAGGTTAAAGTTTTTGCGGAGAACAGACAACAGTCTAATAGACAAACAGACAGTTGGGCGGACAGACCAAAAACCATATGCCCCCGAATCTTCGAATACGGAGGCATAAAAAATTCGGGAATTTCTAAATTGGGAAGGCGTAGGAAGGAGCATTTCTTCTTCAATTGAAAAACGACAACCTACTTTAGCAAAAGTTTACCAAACTTTAAACTTGGCCATAACTTTTGAACGGTTGGGGCTAGGACTTTTATATTTCACATGTTTATTCCATGTGTCCAAACCTTTCTTTGGGTACCAAACTTTTTTTACCTTTTGACCTTGACCTTGAGTTTTTTTTCTACTTTTGAAAAACTTTAAACTTGGCCATGACTTCTGAACAGTTAGTGCTAGGGCTTTCATATTTCACGTGATTGTGTATTTCTTTTTTTCCAACAATATTGACCTTTTGTCCTTGACCCTGGAGTTTGACCTGCTTTTGAAAATTTTTATCCTTGACCATACCTTTTTAACAGTATTGGGTAAAAATGGTAAAAGATTTCTTAAGACTCATATACATGGCAAAATTACTTGTGATTAGTCGTTCCATATATCATAAATTTTTAAGACTTGGTAACATTTTTAAGTTTGGCACGTTTATCCACAAATTTTATTCATTAACACTGCTAAACATAGAAGTCCCTTCTTCAGACATATCGGAGCAACAACTCCAATGAACTGAACTTTTAACGAATCCAAACTGTGGCATATATTATCTATCGATGCCATGTTCAAGCGCAGGAAACAATCAAGTGCCCTGATGAACTGACCCTTAAATCGAACATAACTGGGTGATAGACATAGTTTTGGTCAGGGAAAAGAGTAACCCGCCATCCATCACGCGATTTCCAGCGGTTTTGTTTGTTGTTCATCATTGACAATGATTGATTCACAGACACGCATTTAATCTAGATATGACCTGCATTTAGTTGGATTTAAATATAGCTTCCTGATAAGTCAGTAAGTATTTAGTTGATTTAATGTAAAGCTGAAAAAGATAATTATTTGTCTTTATCATTTTATTTTCTTTTACCTTGCTGGAAACTTTATTTTGCATGTCCCATTGTTTTGTCAATATCAAAATCTACTACATTTTAAACCATTAGTTCAGTCAATATCTACCCATTCATCTTTTGAAATTACGAGTAACATCTTG